AAAAATATTCTGTTCTCTTTTAACCAATTTTTATTTGTGCGTTCACAAGACATGACATGTCGCGTTACACCATTAAAAAGATTGGCTTAGCTGCCTACTATAAAGTTTTTTGTATTTTGACTGATGTTCCTTGGCTTTAGTGGTTCGCCCCCAAGGGATCCCCTACGACTGCGGACCGACTAGTAGCACTGTGCTAATTGCGGGCCGGAGAAGGTGTGTCACAAGAAGAAGTGACCAGTCAGAAGGCCACTTGTCGGAGGGCTCTACGTCACTTTAGTCGCCTTTTACGACAGGTGTGAAGCCCTTGGTAGAATTCTTTCTCCCCTAACCACAGGGATAGTGTGTATTTTGACTATTGCGATTGTTCGCATTTTGGGAATGAATTATACATTCTTTCGCCAATTTTTGGTAGCATTAGATAACAATATAAACATGCGGGACGGGACGTGAATGGTGGCGTCTAAACAATTATAATATAATGGTTGTAGGCATAATCTACATAAAGGTATAGAAACAAGAGGAACCGCTTTCGCCACTGACTAGGATAGAATAATTAACGATGGGTAAATAATGGACGCACCACGACTATTTTGTCACCTCGGCTGCCATCGGTCCCCCATCGACATGTAAACTATACCTAAAAAAAAAAAGTGACCAAAAAAAAATGCACTCATAATTAACATATTTTTACAAGTACACACTATTAAACACTTGACAAGAAAAAACTTCATAAAAAAACGCCGTCCAAGTATTATAGTCTTATTGGTTTCAAGTAGTAGTTATGGCGGACATAATTGCAATTAGATCAAACCAAACGAGCGAGACGTTTAACCGGGCAAATCGTTTGTAACGCAATCGCGTAGAACACAATCGGTTAATAACGTCGTCAGATATTATAACATTAAGAAATCTGGTTGATAAGCCGTTTAATTCTCTTCCTCTACACTGTTTATTTAAGTGGCGCTTAACCGATTGAGTGTTGATAGGAGTACTATAGGACCATCTTAAAGGCGGTACTCGTGTGTCGTGCAAGACTGAATTAATACTCAAATTTATGTGTAATTAATCCTGTGAGCATGATGGGCTTGGGAATCTATAATCCGGTGTTTATTTCAGCTAAAATTAGTATAATAATTAGAATACCATATATTTAAGTTGGTTATGTTTGAGAACGTACTTAAAACTTTTGTTGAATCAAAAAATTCATAACAAAAAAAGTAATTTAGTTTCTTCAAAAACCAATATGAAGTGGCAACACTGTGGAATTCGATTCCGACGATAAAATATTGATAAATGAGACCCGTTTTTGGCTATTACCTTTTAAAAACATATATATTGTGAGACCTAATTTTGGGTCTCACTGCATACTTTTTTGTATTTTGGTGAGACTCAATTTTGGGTATCATGGCAAATTTAAGTCACTATGTAGAAAAACCCTTGGCGCTCAACGTGTTAAAATTAAATACCGCAACCAACCGCCATCCGACCACCACCAACCGCCACTCGACCACCACCAACTGCCGCCCGACCGCAAACGTTATATAATACTCATATAATAGTCCTTGTATAAAATTTTAAGTTCCTAAACCCAAAATAGCTTTTAAAATCCAAAATTTAAGGTTTATTTGTATTTTCCCCTTAATAAGAATAATGTCGACCAATCGACCATCGACCGCAACCAACCGCGGAAACGAGTAATTTTCGAGAATACAAAAGGAATTTAATTACAATAGATCTTCCATATTTTTTTATGAGATAATATTCAACTATTTTGGGTAAAAATAACAACTATAGTTACTATCTATATAGTTTTGTTGCTTAGATAACTAATAAATAAGACAAATATTTTATTAAAAAATTTTCATGAGCAGAAGGAAAAGGAACAATCTACTAAAACACTGGTTTAAGGAAGTAGCGGGATTCAATCGATCAAGAAAAGAAAAGTGCCCGTTTTGTAAAAATAAAATAGTTGCAGGTGTTTCGTATTACAGGTGAGTTATTTGCTTGGTTCAATTTCTAATCTAACTAGACCGCATTCCTTTTCGTTTATAAGATATTTTGTCTTATTTTTTTACAACATCAACATATTTTGCTTTTAAAGTTTTCTTGGGAAATATGTAGATTATTTATGACGTTATACCGTCTACTAAACATATGAATAATCGACAAAAATGGATCCCCGTACATAACACCTCTGTCTGCACTAAACTTACTTGAAACTCGTGACGATTCGCGTCCGTTTATAAACATAAAAAGTAAAAATATATTTTGTCATATGTAGACACGTAGAACGGTGTTCGGAAATTGCTGAATTACGGGCCAGAACTTACAACGAGGACGTGATTGTCCAAGACGACGGCAAAGAGTGCATTATATGTCTTGATAACATGTACCCCGGTCAGACGGTTGCTCGACTTCAGTGTTTATGCGTGTACCACAAAACATGTATAGATCTATGGCTGGACAAGAAAACTTATTGTCCGGCTCATCCGACTTGACCATATAATTAGTGTTATTCCTTAAACATGCAGCCTGAACGAATGTTTGCAATAAATTATTTCTTAAAGTATAAGGATAACCTTACACTAGAATAAGAGTCTGTACTATGACTATTATTTCATACCTTTGTGTAGTTGTATTTTTATGGTGATAATCATAGACCGACTGTTTGTATACATGCATACTTCATGGAACATGTATACAGCAAATATATACGTATATAATATATACATACATAATAATTTACGTGAAGTCAAATAATGTATACAAGAATAATTATGATGTGTAATTCATATCGCTAATATACACCCAAGGGATAGATTCAGTACGTACAACCTACAGGTTCTCATTAGTTTAGGTATATCTTAATTGCATGCGTGTTAAGGTTAACTGTTGTGAGTTAAGGATGTGTATCAGTGTATGTGATTTCTGTTGCACCACAGTGATCAGAGCTCAAGCTTATATCAAATTTGAGAGATTTGTCAAAGGTATTATGATACAACGTTAGCTTACTGCTAAAAATACGTGGTTTTGTTACATTTTAGTACCTTTTACTACCATTTAATAAAAACAATTGTCATGCTACGCAAAATTTATAACATCTAACGCATTTTACGAGAAAACCTTTTTTAAATAAATGTTAGTACTGTGTTGCTATGAAGGGCTATAGAAGAACGGAGTACTCTTTTGCCCCAAAAATGTAGGTACAGCCGACTACTCGAAAGGAGAAAACTCAAGTATTAAATATTAATAATATTCATAGTACTATACTCACCACTACCGTACTGGAAGAAAACACAATGAAAACGATATAGTGCTCCGAAGTTGGAAGGGGGTAAAAACAAAAAAAATTGCGAAAAATTGAGATCACATTATATAAAAACAACATGAAAAAAAAAATTTTTATTTCTTATATTAAACCCTATGAGGTATTGAGGGGTTCATGATAAACAAATTATCCTGTATACTACCGTGATTTTTTCCATTATCATTCAATTACACTTAAATCGTAAAAATATACGATCATGGTATCGAATCCACCAGGAAATAATATTTTCTTTATTGACTCACATAAGCCCTATAATTTGTAATTTCTTGATAAAATTCTGATTATTAAGTTTAAAAAAAATCTTGTTGTTGAGCGGGGGAACACTCTGTATATTCACAACAGGCAGACAGCATCCTTTGCACCTGCAAACCGTCACTATGACTTTCAAAGGGCTGATTGTATACCCTTCAAAATATCCGGAACCTATTATAATATACGAGCTGGTGGGTGGAGGATTCGACGGTGTAATATTGATTTATTCTGTGCCGTTTTGAAAATAATTGTGGTGTGCATCCGAGCTCACCGGTATAATCTAGGTCACCTGCTATCCAAACGGATACCAACGGATCCGCTTCTGATTGAAGTGCCTGTAAGATTCGAGATTAAGATACCGGAAACCTGATGATTACCAAACTTAACATATTTTTTTGAGAAGTTATTAGTGTATATGCATATTAGTGTATTGTCTATCGAAGAGGTTTTTAGGTACTAATAGGCGGTTTTTATTTTATTTTTACTACAAATTATTATTTGTCTATCAAAAGGACTAATGTTATCATAAAACTTTAGTCGCTAGAAAGTTGACCAGCGCTCTCCAGTCTCTTCCATGACTAAATAAACAGACTTGATCGCTAGATAATACTGCAGGATAATTGACCCAGACTTAAAAAATATTTTTTTACCGTGTTCATTTCTCATCATAAGTTATAACATCTTTCAAGACTGGGGAAAAATGCGTGCAAATGCGCAACGATAGGAAAGTATGAAAAATATGTCTCCATTACCAAACTTTTACCAGATATTCTATAATATAGAATCTATATACATATAAGTTAGTGCTGTACAAATTTTAGAATTTTAGTACAAGCCCTAAAAAGTTATAGGCTCTTAAATATAGCACTTTTTATTAAAATACCAAACTTTGAAGTTACTTATACACCATAAAAAAACAATTGGCCAAAAAAATTATGAATCATAAAAGTATAGTTAGATATGTCAGAATAACAAAAAAAAATGAAATAGTGACCTTGAGTCAGCATAAAATTTTAATGAAATTTATAAAATTTTGAACGTATTTTAGCTCTACCAGTTTTTTTCTATGCTCGAGATTAAAACTGTTGCAAATCATAATGCGAAGGCGCTGTATTATAGCGATCTAATGACTATTTCTAGGTAATAGAATCGAACAGCTTGCTACTCGAGTCGTAAATACATATACAAATATATATATTATTATAACTACCATTTTTATCATTCCAAAAAATAATTTTACCGTTCAAAAAAAGTTGATTGTTATGGTGTACTTACATGTCAAGTTTAATCAATGTTTTAAGTATAAATGTATTTATACATTAAAATTTAAATATCTATTTAGGTAGTACAATTTAAAATATTATTATAATTTGTATTTTATTAAAAAGGTAGTTTGAAGTCATAAATAATCTCTTATTGTTTACTGTTCAATGAGTTTGGGCCTCTGATACCAAATAGTTAGTTAACATATTGTACAATTTAGAAAATGTTTTTGAGTTATTAAATAGTTTTTCCAAAACAAACACTTTAGGATTGTCATATTTGTTCATTTCTTTACACAAATTGTACAACAATGTTCCTTTGAAGAAATTTTCAATTCGACATTGAACGAATGGAAAATCTAAAATGGAATTTAGTATCATTATAAAATCAATGCATCCTTGAAACTGCGAAAATGGATACATTATTTTGCAATAAGTGTCTTGGTCATTTAGTTTACTACAACTCTCGTATTTAGCAATCTTAGCTTTAACTCTGCTGCACTCTTCCCCTTTTAAACTTAATAAATAGTTTACAATTGTGTTTTCTGTGTTTACAACATCAAACGGCAATTCAACTGAGTTATCATGACATCTTCTAAGAGTATTCAATATAATCGCACAAACAATCAAAGCGTGTAGATGATTTGACTTGCAGCTGTTATACTTTGCCCAATATATTAAACCCAAAATATAAACTTCCCAATCCTTTGGAATTCCGTTTAGTGATTTTAAATCGACTAAGTTAAACATTATTACTTTGCGCTGTTGCAAATTAATTTTGTTCAGTTGCGACAGTGGTACACAAGGTTGGGATACAAATGGTTTTATGTAGTATGTTACTAAATCGTTATTGACTCCTCTACCTACGGCTGGTAATGGGTCACTATCGCCAAACAGCAATCCGACTAATGTCTCCAAAATACGCCAAGAAAACAAAAAATAAGGTTCTTGTTTGTAGTCGTCAATTTGAAAAATAAAGTTCATTTCTCTCTTCGTTACTATTGTCATGATAATGGAGCTTACTGTTCCTTTGCGGTAGTGATTTTCTAGCCAACGCGGAAGTAAAGTATCTTGTTTGACAATTTTTGATTTGTTTTTAAAATCGTTTTGAAATCTACTCATACTCTTGTAGTTCAGAACAAACGGTAAATACTCGCTATTTGTATTCCTGTATTCCTGTACCAGAGTTTCTATTATTTTGATTGTATTATCTTTGACAGAAGTCGGCAGATGATATGTCATATTTAAAATTGCACTGTTCACATCTTTTTGCCAGCGTAGCCAACGAAAAATCATCATGAGTTTATTATCCCAGGTCACAGTGCCGAGTCTCAAACTCAAGGGCGCATTTAGCGTACCTGGTTTTATGTAATCGTTGCCCAGGAATGCTTCGATTAATGGTACAAAATCTTGGTTTAACCCACCGAAGTAATTCAAAAAATAGTCTATCTCGTACAGCTTGCATTCAATAAAATTGCACATTGAACCATCTATGTCCATGTACTTTAGCGGTATAAACGGAGCTTCTTGGAAATAAAAATCTGAGTCGTCGCTAAGCACTGGGCAGTTGAACGTCTTAGCTAAAATGGCCACTTCGGAATCGGCTTCATAGTCGCAATGGACTTGCGGTATATCCATGTCGCTGAGGATGTCGAAAATGACGTCACCGGCAAAATATGGGAAAAGAGTCGGTATTGGTCGGTTGACTTTGCGACTAGACCGATCACATTGTTTGGCAAATGCCTCGACCGTATCATACATCTTAAGGCGTTGCTTCATAGTTTTCATTCTTTTTTCATCTTTGCGTTTTTCGTGCATACCGTCAAAAACGAACACTGGTGTGACGTTACATTTAAAAAGTAGGTCGATAAAATCCCTGTAAGCTTTCGCAATCACGTCATAATCGCCACCGAAAACGCTAGTTCCATTTTCACAACGATTATAGATGAAATGGGTCAGTGAAAATCCGTCAACCACAACTACGGTGTTCTGGAGCCGATGGTTTTTCAAAAATATGTTGGAATTCAACTGAAAGTATGTAGTGATGCCTACAACCCCCATATCTATTGATTCCGGAACGGCGTCTTCAAAGCTGGCAAATATTACCTAAAAAGAATTTTAAACATAAAATTAAAAAACAGCTGTTACAATATCTATATTAAAGCACTGTCATCCTATTAATATAATATCTAGCATATTTTCTTAAAATCTATGCGCAGCTGAAAATTGAACATTAAAACGTACACTCCTTTTCTGTAATTTTCTAAGAAACCGTTCCACAGAATGTTTATTCAAAAAACCTGGCCAAAAGTAAAAAAATATATTTTTTTAAAACCATCACAATAATAATTTTTTAAAAGTTTTATGCGTTTAAGGAGACGTAACAAAAAATTTAAGAGCATTTTCCTTGTCACCTCCCTAAATAATATGTTTAAAGTTTGGTATTCCCTATAATGGGAATACCAATGGGAGTACCTTATTTTATGGTTATTATGGTTTATTATCTATTATGTATGTGTAAATCTATATGTGTCGAGTGTTGTGAATTAATAATTTTTATTCTAAAATATAGTATAGATATTAGATACTAATAATAAGGTCTGTAAAAAAAAAAATTCACCAACTCACGCCATTTAAATTCCTATGACATTTACTTTCGGCGGAAATCGATGTGTATCCACTAACAGAAAAGACAAGCGAAGAAGACGATGCAATGAGGATTCAGATTAATGCTAATTTAATTACATTCTGAATTAATGTCTGATCGTGTATGAATGTGTATTAAAATTACCCAATGAATATTGTAAAATGTATTAAAAATAATTAAAAAGTAAAATTTGTTATAAAAATGATAAATATATTTTACTAAAATTAATTGAAAGTATAAAAATATAACCAACAATTGTTTTTCAATTCATTCGAACTCCATAAAATATTATTTTTGCCCAGGTTTTTTTGTATAAATACTACACTGTGCGCTCTTAAATTTACAGATTTGTTTTCAAGTTTAAAATTTATCATTTTAAATATTTGTAAAAACTTTCTTAAGTCAAAATAGTTTTAAGTTTTATTTGGATACTATCAGGCGCTCACTTATTTAATCAATACACTGTCGAATGCAACAAAAAAAGTGTCATCCCTAAATAATCGTAAATGCATTTTTAAGCGGATTTGTAATTTCTTTATTAAGGGTGCGTACGGTCTTTTTTTTAAGTTTTAGACCAAAAAGCTAGACTAAATGTCGACTACTTTGGATGGTCAATTTTTAATTCTGTTTTTCAATGCGAGTTCTTTGGTCCCTTTACTAGATTATGTAGGAAACGAATTTTTTATTTTTTTCTGTAAAAAAAATGGGATTAAATATTGAAAAAAATTATTTAATTACAAGAAATTGAAATTTTTAAATTAAAATCAGCTTTTTACATAACATAGTAAAGTAACCAAAGAACTCGAATCTCTTTATAGAATTGAAGTTCGGACATACTTAAGAAGTCGAAATTTTGACTAGCTTTTTGATCTAAAATAAACCAAAATTACTTTTAGTCATAGAAAAAATTAAATAAATTAAAAATAATTCTTTAAAGCTTATACAAATTAATTAATATGTTCGAAATTTTTTAAAACCTCTTTTTTTCTTAAATAATGCCTATACAAAACTCCTTAAAAACAGACTACATGCAATCCCATTAAGAGGACGCCGCCCATTTTTAAGGAGTAAAGTAAAGGCAATTTTTCGAAACATCTCAATTTAGAGTTTGAACTATAATGTATACAGTATACTTATTAATACAGTAATGAGGATACTTTGTTGATTGCCATTTTTTTTGTCAGACTTCAAAACATTTTTTATAGGATAAATTACAATTTTTTTCCATCAAAACAGTTTTACGCGGATTAATTGTTCTCAGACTTCATATATAGTTAAGGAAAGAATTCATACATATTATATACGACAAAATTATCTGTGCTCCAGCATCCATATTTTTTCGATATACCTAATCAACCGACGGTATATCATTTTTAAAAAACTCCTTTCTTAATTAATTAATTATTCATTAACTGGTTGAAATATTAAAAAAGTGCCATATAGAGCACAGAAAATGTTGTTGTCTATATTATGTGAACATTTGATTACTTATTTTTGATAAAAACCTTTGTAAAATGAATACACGCAAGGCGGGTTTTTTGAAGAAAATAACGGGTATGTGACGTCCTCTTAATATATATTTTGTAGAACACAATATCCAAAGACTAGATATTAGATCATGTATTAAAATAATAATTAATAAGTACTATACATAATTAATTCTTTGACTAAGAAATAATTTTTATAACTTATAATCAAGGGTACGGATAGTCTGGGAAAATTTCACATTTTACTCTACTACAAGAAAAACAATAATTTTTTAAAAACTTATAAGTTACCAGTAAACCAGTAAATGTTACCTGTTGTATATTATACAATTAACATGTAAGGTAATACCCAGCGCCCGTCGCAACGGGCGGCATTAGCCTATTATAAATACATTGTACTGCATAATTTTTATCATCCGTAATAAATTAATCTAGGACTAGCCGATATTATAATCGTGTATGTTTGATCAACCCGCTTACCCCGCCAAAACACGGCACACAACATTACCCATTTACAATAAAATAGACTTGAACATTTCTTTTACTGTTATTCTCTTCGTAACAAATCCGGGCCAAATCGATGTTATTTATTCTGGATTTGGTGTCCTATTCTGGTAAAGTGTTGTTTTAGTTACAGTAAATGTTTTATTTTACTGGGAATTTCAGCCGGACCCTCGCTGTAATTATTATTATATTTGTATCTGGACTGACGACTTTACTATTAGATGATCAACACTTTTAGATCATTAGATAAGGGGTACGATCATTTGATATATTTACAATATAATGTCCCAAATAATGTTTAACCACCAAGTAATTGACAATTTTTTTCAAAATTATGTAAGAATTTTGTTTGGCTCATTTTAGGGGCGAACATCCGTCATCCTCTCAAAACTCACATAAAAACTTAAAAACAATCTGCTATATATAATTCAGTATAGGTCCATGTAATATAACTCAAAATAAGTTATTTAGTCTAAATAATATTATATTGAATTTTTAAAAATATTTTTGTGAGTTTTAATTTGTATATTATATTATAATTTATATAGTAGTTACTAAATTTAATGCTAACTGATAGAAAATATCTTGCTTACCTTTTGTTTTTTCGACGGTTGATGAGGCACACTACAGAAAAATAATAATTAATAATCCCGACAAAAGGTGTCGAACTTGATTCAATATACCTAATTCAACAATTTATGTTTTAAATACAGAATAATAAATTTTAAGACACAATTTCAAGAAATATTTTGTGACTATATACTATACTTACTAATATTGCTCTACACGATTATATATTATATTATGTGTGTGACAGATGTTTATTATTGCGTTGTCTGAAAAATGACAAACTGTTGTTAAAATAGTAGGTGAACGCGGCTATAAAGCAAGTCGTAATTACAATGTTATAATCAGATTTAACTAAAGTTGTTTACTGCTTTGATGTCCAATAAATGACCCCATTAGTGAACGCTCTGACTCAGGTCGCCTTTAAACCGACTTCCTGACCATAATAAACTATTATCACCAAACATAAATAATACTGAAGTTGGGATTGACAATACGGTTTGAAGGTGACATTTATTTAAGTACTTAATTGTAATTCTGATATTAATATTATTATACTTCCGCGAAACGACCTAAGTAAAAATAGAAAACCTAATTAGTAATTTTTCATTATACCTAACTTATACTTATGTATACTTACTCTTACTACTTTCTATGTAATAAAAATTGTAATTATATCTAAAAATAATAAAATATGATATATCATATTGTATCAACTATCATATTAATTCAGAACTATTACGTTCGGCGTCAAACTAGCTCAACAATTTATGTGTGACTTATTGTTAGTTAAAAAGACCAACTAAAAAAAAAAGGTTTTTGAAAAATTAAAAGATAATTTCAAAAAAATGTTTATAAATACAGATAAAGATAACCAAACCAACCGGTTAGGATAATTTTACAAAATTTATCTAAGTAATTCCCAACAAAGTCCCACCATAAAATTAGCCCTTTCGTTCCTGGGATTTTTTTTTTCAAAAAAAAATTCAACAATTGTTTTTACGTATTTGTATAGGACTAAAAAATATATTTACGAAGTTTCAGAAGTAAATTTAGAATTCCCGCTTAGTTATACACTACAAAATTAAAAATCATTCTACAAGTATGTCGGGAAGTAACGAAGTCAATATAAATATATCATTGAAATGATTACTTTTATTTCACCTAAAATTACATAAATGACCAAAAAAGTTTTTTACTGGTTATAAAAAAATATATAACTAAATTAAAACATTTTCGAAAACATAGACGTTGTAAATTAGTGAAAATTAGGGAAACCTATAATGCTAAACAAACCATAATATCGGACTGATATTGATTATTAATATAGCTGTGTCAACTTTTTTTATCATCAATCTATATATGAATTAGTATTTAAAAACAATTTTGATAATGATAGTACGTTGTTAATATTTTATTCGATTTTTTAAAGTTAAATCCTCGTACGAGGATGTCAGGAACGAAAGGGTTAAGAAAAACATTTATATTTATATATAGAACTATAAACTTAGTTGAAACTTTAATAATTTTATTTAAATTAGTTTTGATAATAATAATGAGGTTTGAAACACTTAACTCAATAAGCGTGTACGCGTTTAGAAAAATAATTTGATATATTATATCAAATTATTTTTGAAGAGACCAAAGTCACATACAATAGTTCGATAATAAATATACACACAAGAATAACAAACCATCAGTACAAATAAAGTCGAAAGTTGAAAAATTCAAATTATTAAGTGTTACAAATTGTACACATCTTATATTATTTTCGTTTAAGTTAAAATACGCGCCAAAAGTTGATCAAGTTACAGCGTCTTTGACAAAAATGATAACAAATAGTCTTTGACTTTTTATATTTAAGGTTATTGCTTATACGAACAAAAACGTACGAAACGATATCGCCTTAATACTTATTACCTATTCGTTTGTCGGTTTGTTTACAAATTTATAAAATCTTTACACATTACTGTAACTTTGTCAAGCTAATTACATTCCCGTTCACCAACATTTATTATGTAAGTAATAACTATGAAGTATAAAATATTTATGGCGGTGCTATTGACAATAATTATAATTTGATTACTTGGCCGCGGTAAGCCAAGCGTTCGTCTGTAATAAACATCAGCACAAATAATGTAATTAATAAATGTAGCTTAAATGAGCGACTCAGGTGACGGCTCCAGATTAAGCAGAATTCAGAGAGCCGTATTAAATTTGTGACATGTGGTTTGGAAGTTTAGCCATGATCAGACGCACCTTTATCATTACTTTTATCATTATCCTATTCTAAGTCAAAAAAATTCTCTTAAAACTGATTATCCTGAATCAGATTTGGGCAAAATTAAATAACATAGTAAATATCTAATAGAACATTTGACAAAAATGTATATATTAAAGAATAGTAGATAATTTTTTTGATTCTGAATTCCATTAGCGGGAACTCAATAAATAAAAGATAACTTGTTTTTTAATAATTTATAGATATAGAAAATAAATCACGATCTTAAATGCATTTTGATATTTTTAATAACATGAGTAGTCGCGCGTTGTACATCTGATTATTTTGTATAAAATATTAAGGCATTTACTGTACCTTAAATCTAAATTTAATAATAGGTTATAATACGAGGTTATAATATTCGTACCACAAAATTAATTTTAAAAAATGTATACACAAAAATCATATGCAAAGATAACAAACTAAGTAAAAAAATTGACGAGTACAAAGCTGTTGTATTATTTACAACAGCGCATCCGCAGGAAATTAGTTTTTTATTCTTAAATAAAAAATTGTATCTATTATTTTTTAGATATTGAAAAAAATTATTTTTAAATTTTAAATGTAATGAAAGAATAAAGAAAAATCTTTGTTAAATATAAATAAATTGTGTAGGCAAATAATAAATAACTATTAATTTTTAACAAAAATTAAATAATCTTGTCATAAACAACCAGACAGTTCTTTTTTAAATTATGTTTAAAAGATGCTCTGCGGTTTACTTTATAGGTTGAGAAAACCTACATGATGATTGGATAAGTGGATCCAAAGCCAACCTGTAGCAAAGATTCTCATTTCACATTTATATTATATATATATATATATTTTTTTTTTATATTTTGTAATCTGTTATACTGTATTTTGAATTTATTTTGTGATTTTAGGGCTGCCGTAGCTAATAAGCCAAAGTCTGAGATGACGCCAGAAGAGTTAGCGAAACGCGAAGAAGAAGAGTTTACTACAGGTCCGATGTCCGTGTTGACTCAATCTGTTCGTAACAATACTCAAGTTTTAATCAACTGTCGCAACAACCGAAAACTTTTAGGTAGAATAAAGGCTTTTGACCGACATTGTAATATGGTGTTAGAGAATGTTCGGGAATTATGGACTGAATTACCCAAGACTGGCAAAGGCAAAAAAAAGGTAAACACATTGTTAGTTGTAAACATGTATAAGTAACATCTGGTGATGTAAATTAAAAAAATCATTTACCTATTTCTTTTTTTTTTTTTATTTTACAATCTAATTTAAATATGTACAATTACTTTGAATTACTACTCATATTAAAAAATCAAAAATATATTATGCAATACCTAAACCATTAATACTACAAAAATGTTAGTATTATGTTACAAACTATAAATACATATTTATTTTTTAATTTAATTGCAGGCAAAAGCAGTCAGTCGTGATAAATATATCTCAAAAATGTTTCTTCGTGGAGATTCAGTCATATTGGTAGTAAAAAATCCAAAAGAGTCTGTTCGTCCTCAACCACCTGCTTAATTTAATTATAAGTTTGTCAAATTTAATATACATATATATATATATATATATACACATAAATATTAACGATATAATTGACAGGACAAAATTGTCAAATAATCTCTAAAATAAAACTTCATACATATATAAGTTTTTAATGTAAACAAATTGTACACATTTTATTACCAAACTATCCAATCTACCTGTTGATAATCATCCTGATCAATGTTTGACATTGTAGTGATTTGTTAGAAGAAATAAAACTAATATTGATTTCAAATAAAGTTTTATAGCAAAGGTTTATCAAGGACAAGAAGTATTTGATGAAAATTAGTTTAGACTAAATTTTATTGATGTTGACTCTTTTAAGTAAATAAATATTGATTTACATAGGTACATTTAAATTTAATCTAGTTCACTTGAGACTATTTAAAGTTATAATGTGCTCCTGATAAAAATTTGAAGATACAGTAGTCGTGACCATAGAAATACAGTTAAAAAATAATGACTGGTCTGCAGCTCAAATATATTTACTGCGGTATTTACATTAAATTTATAAAAGTAAAAAGTAACTTTTAAAACATTACAAAGTCTGTAATTAATTTAGAAACATAAATAACTTTCTATTACATTTGGACAGAATTGTATAATGCTTAAACTGCTGTTTCTCAGAATAACGCATCTTTTGAGTACATATGTAAATACAGTAATTCAAAATCTAGATTTTAGGAATAATAATCAAATATTTAAAATTATACTATTTAGCAAAATATCTGGGGGGGGGGGCGAGAGAAGGGCAAGAATTTGTTATGAGGGGGCGACCGCCCCCCCCCCCCTGTATCTACATAATAAGTGAGTTTCAAGATTCCGTCGGAAGTACAAGTTGGAAACTAGCTAACAAATTAAATTAATTTTTAAATTATAATTTATTATTATTGTGCTTTTGATAAATATTCTTGCAATACTATATTTTAAGCGTATATTAATATTGTGTAAAAATACAATGCATAGTAAAGATTTATTAATTTGACCATAGTAACCACGATTGTTTTAGACACAAACAAATGAGTCGCCAAAAACGTTATAAAGTTTAATCTTTTTTGTAAGGTAGCAAACTATCGTCTTTGAGTCGAAAAAAAGTTGTTAATTGTGTTTATTTTTATTCTTAATAGTTTAAGTAAAAAGTAATTACATTAACAGAATTAGATTAATAACATTCAATTTTCAAAGCATTAGATTTTCTAAACGTTTTTGTTATTATCCAATCTGACATCTGTTCCTCTGCGCAACGTTATCACAAAAACGGTTGTTAAAAAAATAAGGTGTCAATATTTTCTTGAGAGCAAACTTCTGATAAGATTAAAGATTTTTGTGTTGTTATGGTATTATCAAGCTTTGCTTTGGAATGTCGCGTCTGTGTCGATCGTCATGAATCTTATTTCTCGATTTTCCACAGTCCTCAAAATTTGTTGCGAAGATTTATCTGAAGTGACTTTACCAAGTACAAAAAATGCCAAATTGATAATATTTTCTAGCCAAATATTGTTCAGTATGTATACATAACAATTACTAGTGAACCCAAAAGTATTGTCCTGGTACTCTGAACTTATTAAAAAAGACTGCTTGCCATTTTATTTGGTGTAGTTAACAGCCATGGCCAGTAACTACAATCCAGACGACTATATTCCAATTCCTCCTCGTAGATCTCGCACCAACACTTCAGATAAAGTAATTGAATAGTTTGCTATATTAATGTATTTTTTGAAATTTTGGTGTTTACTGAACTGAATTTTTATAAAGGTACCTTACACTGTGGATGTAATAGTTGAACCATGTATGGTTCCGTCTATGGAAAGAATGACTCGACCTGAATCTAGTAGAGTAAATATCTCGCCTTTAGACCGTTTAAGAAATAGTAAGACAGCCGACAACTGACAAGGGTAATACAGTCTATGAGAATTTTATTGATATTTTCCTCCCCTTTTTAGATGTCGATATGTCTGAAAATGTTGCTAGAATGGCTTCACATTTAAAACAGTTAGAGAAGAAAAGAGACGAACTACAGCGACAGTGTACAGCTATTGAAACCATGAATAGGCAATGTGAAGTGAACAGACTGTTAGAGAAAAACAAAGAATTAAAACAAGATGTCTTTGTATTGAAAAATCTTACGTATAGGTAATATATTATTCAGAATTATAAAACTCAATCTTTATATTTCTTATTTGTTTTTCTCCTTTAGATTAAATCGAGAATTGGAAAAGTGCCAAGATAAACTAATTTACAGAGACCAGCATCCAGAATCTGAGGGATACGCACGTCCACAAAGTAAATTTTTAAGTCTTGTTACTCTATTATGAGTTATATAAACATTTCATGATTTTTTAATATTTAGATCCTAAAAATGTTGATTGGCGTCGAGAAGATATCATTGCAGTTTCTCCATTATTAGAAGCCTATCAGACTTCTTTAGAAGAAAAAGATATGACTATTGAAAGTTACAAGAATGAACTTGCTCGTTTTTCTTCTAGAAGTAGAGAAATTGTTGCCGAAAATGAGAATCTTTATCAACAGCTCGAAGAAGCAAACGATAAAGTAATATAACTAGTGGTGTAGTTTATTAGGTTGAGTTTAGACTTTGTGTGCCATTATGAATATACCACTAAGTATATTATGAAATTTATACTATTTCTGACAGTTAAATGTTCATTTTGATAGTTAAAGTGTTATTTTTTAATTATAAAACATTATTGTCAGGTTGAAGTTACATATACTGAATGGAAAACATTGGAATCTGAAGTGGCTATGTTGAAAGAACATAACGAGTTATTAGTTAGACAAGCAAAACTGCACCAGGCAAAGTTGCAAGATTTATTGAGATCCTACCAATCTCGAGGTAATCATATACTGTCCTTTTGTAATGTTTTTAGATATATATTTAGTTTTTTTTTTTTTTTTAAGTGGAATCAGATATATTTTAAGCACTCTGGCCGCTATTATTTTAGCAACTCTCCATAAACAAAACCAAACTACAATCCTAGAATATGCTTAGGGCATACATTTAAACTTTGTAAATTACCTATAAATTGTTAAAGAATTGTAGATATTAAACCATCAGACTTATAGTGCTATGCAATAACAAATAAGATTGAGCAAGATAAATGCTATTAATGTATTTTTGTTCTTGTCACAATAATCTAGTATATTAGACATTTTTAATAACTGCTTTCATTTTCTGTTTAAACTATCTTTGGGTTACCTACTTAAAGTATTATAAATGGTGGACATTTCCAAAATTTGAAAACAAGCTTTTTATTAATAGTTTCAATTTCTCATTTTTTAACATAAATAGGAATGAAATAAAATAACATTAAAAGTTTGAGTTTTGTAAAAATAATTCATAATTTTTTTACATACATAATTTAATGTTGTCTAAGTACTATTACTTTTATATACTGTTGTTGCATAGTTTCCACAAAACTAAATAAAACATTTCTATTTACATTCTAATAATAATATATGGTATATTTAACAGGTATAACTTCTAATGAAATATAATCACTCCATTAGTTGTTTGATACATTCAAGTTGTCGTATAGATACAATCTTTGTATATTTACAAATAATATATAAATAATAACTTTTAAATTCGCAATAACAAAATTATATATTTATTTTTTTCTATTTTTGTTGAAAATTTTGGTTTTGTTTGGTGTCTGCGATTTGCTTCCACTGGCACTTGACATTTTCCTCTTTACTAGAGGCGTTGCAAATAAAACTTCTAAAATTTCTATTATAGAACTATACAGGGTAGCTAATGATTCTGAATTACAAAATATTTTCTCCAACACAAATAATTTAGAATCACATTTATCCATCTCGACACATAAGTTATAGAGTAATGTTCCTTTGAAAAAATTCTCTACCCGACATTGTCCAAAGGGAAAATCCAAAATTGAATTAAGGATCATCATAAAGTATATACTGCCTTGGAGTTGAGCAAACGAGTGGATAGTTTTGTTATAGAATTTTTTATCGTTATATTCACTAACAGTTTCGTACTTGGATAGTACAACTCTCGTTCGAATGCAATCTTCATTTTTCAAATTGCATATACTTTCTTCCATCTTATTCTCGGGCACTTCAATTTTAAATGGTTGATTTTCTGATCCATTATTAGTTTTATTAACAAAGTTCAATGTTATTGCACAAACAACAAACGCTGGAATGCAGTTTGATTTCTGGTTGTTAGTGTGTGTTGCCCAATACGTCAAAGCTAAAATAAAAACTTCCCATTCTTTTGGAATGTTACTCAATTTTGGAAGTCGAACTAGCTTTAAAATAATATTTTTACGGTACTCTAAATCGGTCTTGTTTAAGTCCATTAGGGGAACATAAGGATTAGGTAGGAGAGGTTTTAATTTGTAAGTACCTTGATTGAACCCATTTTTCCTGCCAAAACTCAGAAACGTATCGCTTTTACCAAAAAGCAGACCAGCTATTGTTTCGACGACTCGCATGCAAATTAAATAGTAGGGCGGTTTCTCGTAGTTGTCAATTTGTATTTTAAAAAACATTTTTCTCATTGTTATCAAAGTCATAATAGTGGCATTAACAGTTCCTTTACGATAGTTATTTTCAAGCCACCCGGGAAGTATACATTTGTATTTTTCCTTTATGTCACTTATTGAATTAGCTCGAAACTTATTCATACATTTGTATTGTAAAATAAACGGTAAATACTTGCTTTCCGTGTTCTCGTACTCTTGTATGATATTTTGTATTTGCTTTTTTATATAGTCTTTACTGTGGGTCAAATGATGCGTCATGTTGTATATCGCACTGTTGACATCCTTTTGTCTTCGTAACCATTCAGAAATTTTTTTCAGTTTTAAACCGCTATTAAAAGTACCAGGACTCAATCTCAAAGGAAGGGCAAACGTATCAGTCCTTATGTAATCATTTCCCATTAACGCCGCAACTAATGGTAAATAGTTTAAACTTATTCCGCCAAATTCTTGTAACAACTTTTCCACTCTGTACAAACGACAGTTAATAAACAGTTCTTGGGATTTCAAGTCTAACAATATCATGTCCAAAGGTATGTATGGAACTCTATCGAGATAAAAATCTGAATCTCGACTGAGAACAGGACATTTCAATAATTTGGCCAAAGCTACTATCTCAGCGTCTGCTTCAAAGTCACAACTTACATGTGGTACGTCCATATCGTTTAGAATATCAAATATTATGTCGCTAGCAAAATAAGGCATACAATCGCAGGTTTTTATTGCTTGACCATAAGTTTGAATTCGACCACTCATACGGCTCATTATAGTTTCAATTTTGCGTTGCTCGTATGCACCGTCAAAAACAAATATTGGAGTGACGTTGCATCTTAACAGCAAATTTATAAAATCTCTGTAAACATTTGCAACAGTATCGTAATCTCCGCCAAATGCACTTGTTTGGTTTTCATAAAGTTTGTACAGAAAGTTGGTAAGAGCAAAGCCGTCTATTATTATTAATGTGTCTTTCAATTGATAATTCTCAAAGAACTGTGTTGAATTTCGATTGATAAATGAGGTTAAACCGGGAATGCCCATAGTGATGAATTCAAATTGATTTGCCCTATTAAGTTAAACAAATAACATTATTAAGTAACAGTTTTCTTTTGTGGAAATTCATATAAATTATAATAAATAAGCGCTAGAATACAATGAAATCTTTGTTATCAACAGTAAAAACCCTAGATTGTAATCGTCAATTACATTGTTTTCTTTAAATATACTTATTAGTAATACATACATACTTTTAAATATTAATATAGTTTGTACTTAGATATACTTTTCAAGAACAAAAAATCTTCTATTGACTAAACATAGTTTATTTTATAGTTGTCATTATGTAAAATTACTAAAAATGTCGATACTTTCAACTCAGACATAATAAATTAAGACAATACTAATATTTGCTAAATTAACTATTTTACTATTCTCAATAATTCAAAATGTAAAGATGAATTAATAATTATTACTATTAAGACCGTTAGTGTTTACATCCCAGAGATAAAAATGATAAGTGATAATAGAAATGTTTTTTAAAAAATTGTGTTGATAATAATTCAATGGCCAGTGTTGCCTTTACATGAACGATTATATCGATATAATACTTAACCAAGCATTAATTTCTCATAAATTAATATCTTATTTACTTCCGAGTTCTGGTAATAATTCAAGCAATTTCCATCTAAAGTTAATTTTATTTGTCTATAATTATTGGCTTTTTAAAAACCGTAAGTGGAATTTCTTAGCTGTTTAAAATAAAATAATATTATTTTGAAATAATAGTTCTAAAACTTTAAAATTGCAACAATGAAAACTTAAAAATATTGACTATGATATTATGACTTGTGTTGTAATGGTTTTTGTTATTATTTTTTCAGTTACCGAATTAAATGGGGAAAGAGACCATTTGGCTGACAAGTATGAAAATGCACGTGCCGAACTCTTACATTTGCAGAGCCGTGTATCTACTTTGGCCGAAGACTTAAACCGAATAAAAACAGAAGACAGTAACAAAATTCCTCTAGCAGTCCACAAATCAGCTGTCAATGAATGTCGCAGGTATATTAATAATTTGTTCAAATGTAATAATAACTGGAAGAATACTTATCAATTTGTATTTTAAAGAAAAAAAAGTTTAAAAATTAACAAAACGTTTACTGTTTTACTTTTATTTTTGTTGTAGACTTTTCGAAGAACTCAAAAATCGGTATGATGATGAACGTGATACTCTTATGCGTCGTCTTATCACGTTTGAAGAAGAACGGCCAACGCTCGATATAAGAATTGTTTCTCTGACCACAGAACTAAATCAACAGCGATCAATAAACAAAGCATTAGACCTTCAATGCTCGTATGCGTTCTTTAAACTATTATCACTAACTATTAGACCTAATTTTTATTGTCATTACAAATTTTAAGACATATACTTACTTACAGGCAGTTGAAAGCTAAGTGTGATTCTTTGGAAAAACACTTATTCGATTGTGAATCCGAAAAGAACACTAATAAAAGACAACTTGCCGATGCTATGGTATTTTTGCGTGAGACTATCAACGAGCATGAAGCACTGCTACATCGTGCTGCTGGCGATAGCCGTAACAATGCTTCCGCTGCACTTCTGAGTGCTTCAATAAGTGCTAGAGTAAACACTTTTACTGAGCATTTGAAGGTATTTTAAATATTGCATTTATGTACAAAAACATTTTTAACCGCTACGTAGTTTCAATACAATTAATTTTAATAAATATTTGTTTTGTTTTTATGTTTTCTTAAGAGTGTTGAACAAGGATTGTATGAGAAATCTGCTGAATTGGACAGGATGAAGAAAACATATGAGAACGAAATCAACGCTCTGAAAAATGCCCTATTGCAAAAGCAAAGTATCATAGACTCTCTGGATGCACATCAAGAGAGATAGCGATGGTGTCCTTGCACCAATTGGTCATGGTGTCGTTTTAGTCAGTACATAAGAGAAAAATAAGGTTGTGTTATAATATTACTGCCAAAAAAAAAAAAAAAAAAAAACAATTGCTTATAAAAAGACTTTTAATCAAAAGCTTAATAACTTGAAAATGTGTTCGTATGGTATATTTATACTAATAATTATAAGTATGTTATGTAATAATTAAATTTTTGTTATGTAGTTATAAGAGTTTTCCAAAAATATGTCACAAGAAGATAATAACATTTTGGTTATATAATTGGTATTTATTATTTACAACATATCTATGATTATTAAAAAGTAAAAACATATATATATATATTATATATACATTAATAAAAAGTATTTAAAAAATAACAATAAAAATCACTTATTAATATTGTATCATGTCTGTAATAATTATTATTTTTGTTTAAAGGTTATTTGACTAGGAAGAACAAAAAGCCAGTTGTACGGGAAACATTATAATTAAGAAAAACACGAAATGGCAATTGCACAATAAGAGTCCTGTGAATCTTAAAATTAATGTATTACACTGATTTTTAACATCATGGTAACAATATCGGTTGGTTACTCTGTTTGGATTGAGTTGAATCCAACAACCAAGTGTTCACACTTAACACAATATTTGTTTGTTTGTGAACAGTCATCAAATCAACAATCAAATTAGAAAAAAAAAACCCCTGTTTGATAAAAATTAAGTTAAAAATCTATCAAATAGAGATTAATAATTGTTGTATATGTCGGGACGACGTCTATCGCACTCCAGTACCACCTATCAGCATTGACTCTAAATATTATTATTTTATTACTATATATTAAATACTGTATAATTAATGCGGTTTTTCGATAAATTATTGGTATATGTAACCATCGACAGCCCAATTGATGGTTACGTATACCCATAATTTATAGTGCTCCCGACTGCTTTCATCAGTGTTAATTATTATCAACAGTTGAACAAACATTTTTGGAGAAGCCATCGCATCGTCTCTTTTCCATATTTATATTAATAATTAAATATATTTATCTTATGTTCGGAAAATTACGACTTCGTCTTAGACCGGTATGAGTTTGGTGTATACTTGTTGGCCGAAGAAGTGGACCGGCCCAGACCTCGGCCCGATCGACCGTCCTTGACTAGCTCTCCGCTTCGGCTAGTGGTCCTTATGATCACCTCGTCCATCAACGATGACTCCTCGCCAGAACTCTTGGACGGTCGACTCTGCCTGGTCGGTCTCGCCACTTCTTCGGGGTCGCTCTTGGTGACTTTAACGTACTTCTTGGGCGCCCTGGGTGGTCTGCCGTACTCGTCGTAGTCGATGTGCTGACCCTCGTGGTGTCTTGGCGTCCACGGCGCCAATACAGAGACCGAACGCGAAAGTGTGCGTTTTTGAGTGCCTCCGAACGCGTCGTTTTTCGAAGATAGTTCTTCCCGACTGGCCGCCCGCTTGCTCTTCGTGCCGAATACGGATTGATGGAGTTGCCTGGATTCCGGAATTTCTCCAACTAAAATACATTGAAAAAAACTATTGGGCAAACAGTAAACGTAGGACTCTAGCTAAATAAAAGTAGAGAAAATATGATCTATTGTAAATGGTTGTGTGGTAAGCCGGATACAGTGCAGTTTAGCTCAAGGGACGGTGGCGTATTTACGGAGGGTTTGGGGATTAGATTCCCCCTTGAAATATTGTCATTATATAATTGCTAGCTGTATTTCTCAATATAATATTACTTTTATGTCTACCTTTATGCTAAATTCGGACATTTTATAATGGTCGAAAACAAAAACTAACGCTAATTGAGGTACGGTTTAATTATTAGGGGGGGGGAGGTAAAACTCAATGAAATTTTTGTACTCTTCTATTCCATAACGGATCTTAAGTATTTCATTAGATTCCAATGGACAATTCGGACTCTAATGGAGAGGTACTCAATTCGGACACGAGTCACGAGAATGAAAAAAAAAGGTTAAGAAATAACTGGTTTAAAAATATATAAGAACCGTCCAATGAGAGGTATCCTCTCATCTTTTGTAGAATAAGCGTGCGCGTGTTATTAAGTATTAGGATTGACATAGCTTTGAATATACTATCGGTAGCCTTTTGGTGCCGCCGAAAGTCCTGCAAGCTCCTTTAAAGTATACCAATAAAATTTAACATTGTATTACAATGATTTTGAACTAGCTTTTGACAGCTCTTTATATTAATACCGAACCTCGCACTTTTGCTTAAGGTGTGGCCTACAGCCCCCCTTCTAAATACTAGGGGATAATAAGACAAGGTTTTTTGGAGGTGTACCGTACCTGTTGTCGCGTGGAGATACACGGTGGACTTATGCGATTTTTGACTACTATCTCCTTCGGTAGTGCTGCCGGCTGAGCTGTCTATAAGCGAATGCCTTTTCTCAGTCATCCTCCTGGGAGGCGAATGGTCCATGTCCAGTGAATTGAGATTACCCACGCTGTGATAGGACCTGGCTGTCGACCTCGTTGTGTTGTTTCTATCGTTTATTCGGTGAACTCTGACCTCGTCGTCGTTTTCGCTGCCAGACGTGAACGTCTTTGACCTCTAAAACACGATCAAAAAGTTTATAAAACAAAAATCAATTTTGAAGACCCTGTAATTCTCAAAATTGTTTGTAATAACAGTGTTAGGTCTACCTTGTTGTTTTTCTTGCCGAACCTGTCCAAAGACTTGAACCACGGGTTGTTCGCAGACTTCTCTGAGTGTTTATTTGGCGAATGCTTCCTCTGACCCTGTAATATAAATCGAAAGGCTATGACCAACAGTATAGATGTTGTTTTTATAGTTATTACTCTAAATTCCTGACAGATACTAGAGGGTTTATCTGAGCAATTTGGAATAGAATGCAGATTAAAATAGTACTTCCAAAAAAATTGTAGTCACCTAACATAAAAACCCGATCGTAAAACAACTGTATTGCCTTTATAATTTCTTTTTAGAAATCTCTCTCTAGCTTACAAATTACAGCGACCGAAGACTGCAACATTCGATTTCGATAGTCTATCATATTTAAAAAAAATGTAAGTGTTTTAAACAATTTTAGCTTCGATGCGGAGGAGCTGAGAAGGTACTTTTTTTTGATTACCTAAACGTTGCTGACTCTGGGTAATAAATGCTGGGTGAGAAAGGGTAAAGGAAAAAACCGTAGTAAAATAATATTAACATAAAAGCGCTCAGAGTTTTGAAATTGTTTATTTTTACTCTCCAAAAAAGGCAAGATTCGAATGGTACATATTGGACGTCACGGCGCGGCGGCACGATTTGGATATTGCCAGGCTTAAAAAAATACATTTTTCAATTTACACTATGAACACGACCAAATGCATCTCACGAAAGAATACGAGTTAAAAATAATTAGTACTACTTCTGTTAATCGTCATGACTCATGAGCAATTAAACTATGGTTATCTTTATTTCTCTACTATAATATTTAATTTGTTTATTGTACTCGATAGGGTATAACAATACAAATGCGGCACCAGTATCTTCGGTATGTCAACTGATTTGTTAATTGGTAACTGTTATTAAAAATTAAATATTATTGAAAAAATATACGCTGAATTTTATTTTTTTAAGAATATGCCAATTTCGGTGTTTAAACATTTGATTTGTAATATAATTTCATAAATTTAGCAACAATTATAGGTAACAGATTATTTTACAAAATATTAATGTAGCTAATCTTAATTAACAAATTGGTTTTTGTTAAAAATATGTTTAAAAAAACCTGTGATGTTAGTTTACAATATGGTTGTAAACATAGCTTACCTGATAATTCAGATTTGATCAGATATGTGGTTTCTATTAGAAAAATAACTATTAAATATAATAATATATTTCAATCCATGAATGCTTTAACACATTCAAATTTGAATAATAATAAGATAATACGATAATCTATAGAAATAATAATTAAATATAATGAATAATAACAGACATTTTATAGTAGTATTTTTAAATGGAAGTCGAATTTACATGATGATTCTGATTATTATTATTCTAACTCAGAATTTAATATGAAGCAATAGTTTTATAATTCTATTCTAAAATATCCATAAGACCCGATATTATCCATTTTATTTCAGAGTTTCTTAAGTTTTAAAGTTAAAATCTTTATAGTTGTTTACCTTAAATTTCGGTAGGAGGAATGGGTTTTATATATAATATTATCAGCACTTAAGTAATCTTTTAATTTTTTTATAGATTAGATTTCCCAAAACTACAACTTGATTATGAAAAAAATTCGCTCAAATCAATACACGGGCATTGCCCGTATATATTTGAATGAACCTTATCTACGACCCGAGCAACAGTTAAGTAAAAACATAAGTTTTAACTTTTTTTACAATACATTGTATATCCGACTTAAGACACACACACCGCCCAACTGAGTATTTTAAGTAGTGCAATTGAATGCGTATAGTGGCGTGGCGTAATATTTATCTTTGAACATGGTGTGTTCAGTGTCACCGATACTGTTAATTGTTTTTGTAGTTTTAGAATCGTACATTATACCTACATACTAAAGGATTGGTGTACCTACTTATTATGTTTTAACGGCGACCAGCTGCGATCTGATGTCTTCACTTTAATATATCGATACCATTCCAATATATGCGTGTGCGAGAGCTAACGAAAATCATTCTACAAATCTCTTTTTATTTTTTAAATGTTATGAGTTTTTTTAATTTGATTTGCGGCCGGTGAGGTCGTCGCCAAGGATGGACGAGGACAAACAACGATCACAGGTGGAGCACCGGATGGCCGTCGTGCGTGCATATATGGACATCCAGGTTAGACCGCGGTTACTTATATATGTGCACAACGTTCACACGAGAATATGTTATAACATTTATACAGATGTATATAATAATACTATGTACTGTTCGTGCAGAGAAAGCATTAATTAACAATTATCAACTACCTCTATACTTTGCTATATTATATAATTGTATTGTAAAGAAAATACCGTAGCAGCCTGACTTTTTGTACACATATATAATATAATATATTTTTTGAATTTGGCAAACTAGCCCATAGGTATACGCCTAACGCCTTGTTAAAAGGTGTTGGTACGACCGAAATGCATTTTCTTACTGGACACTAACGCGAGGAGAAAGGGCGACGTTTGCTGCAGTTATGGCGAATATTATTATTATTATAAATTATTATATATTATTATTATGAATTGTACGTTAGCGTGATAAACCTGTTTTCGGGTGTTTTGACCATTACCGGTGGTATCGGTCCAAATAAAGGTACACCACAATATTGCCTATTATATTAGTATATGCACAGTACCTAATGTGTGGGTATTGCATAATGATAGTCGGCGATTCGTGTGTAGAAATTATCCGGTCATCGGTTCTATACCGTTAAAAACGGTATTGTCATCACACCGAGATCAAGGAAGACTCACGCAGCAACAATATATTTCAACCGTGGTACATAAGTATTAAAATCAATCAGTACAAATCTGAATGTGATTTCGTCACAATCAAACGCTTCGATGCGAATTTGCAAATAGTGAAAATGCAGCACAGTCTGAACCAACCGGCAACCACTGTTTAAACGAGGACAGTAAGAAATTACCAAAGTGGATTCTAGTATGCAAAAATTCGCATCGAAGCGTTTTCTTTAATGTGAATTTAAAACAACTTTGCGCCTACTGACTTTTTTACTACCTTTGATTTGACCCAACTTTGTTAACTTCTTTTTTTGTTGATTTATATCTGAAGTATGTATATTTGGTTCGGACTTTGTTGTTTTACTATGTACTGGTTTAGACGGTGTTACAGTACCTGGTTGTACTTTAATTATTATTTACTTAACTATTATTATTATTATTTTTTTTTTTTATGTAATGTTAGTTAAGTAAGATTATTCGCTTTTAAACATTATAATTTGTAATAACAAAATATCATTAACAAAATAAGCATTCATAATATTTGCATACTTTAGGGAAAAACTTATAAAAACCTGCACTGATTCGCGTGAAAAACAAATCCTAGTATCTAAAAGACTAAAAAAATGTCTGTGTGGAGTACAATACTCTTCGACACCACAACAAATCTCGGTGATAAAATTAGGTGTAAAAAATTCAGGAATAGTTATGGGAACTGTTTAGAAGCCAATTTATAATGTTAGAAGGGTAGGAATTAGAACACTATATTAATTCTTTAAACAATAATTACATAATAAGCCAGGCGAGTATTACTTAGGAATATCAGAACTAACTAGAAGAAATAACTTATCGGGTCTCAACTTATTGGAATAATACTTTATGTTCCTTTAGATCTGTCTACTCTTAGCACGTTATATTTACTCTTAGTTTGTTTATGGTGTGATAGAAAATGGCTTTTTTGATTGTTAACGATCGAATCATGGAAGAAAACGTGTTGATCTTTCTTTTTCCAAAAGGTGTGAAATTATTTGTTTAACTATATAATTTCTCCCTATTTCTTAAAAATTTTTAACCCCATCATAATCTACTCTTGTTTTTTTTATTGGCTTGTATACTCATTCTTAAATCTATCTAACCTCCACTCCACACATCTATCTCAACATTATCATTTCAACTATTTGCATTTTCTTTCATCTTTCTCAATAAAAACCCAACACTCACCTTTATAAATTATTTTACAGTTTTGTAAAGTGTTTCTCTCACTCTAAATGTCTTTTTTTGGTGATAGCAACACCCCTGTTGCCTTTTTCCACCTAATCCAATCTTAAATTATTCTGCTCGTCACATCTGATTCTAAGTACTTTTCTAATTTTTCTATTTATTTACCACTTGCTCTTTAAGCAAAACAAGTTATCTGCCTTTTTCTAAAATCTCTTCTCTCTCTTTATAGCGGCTGAACATTGGCTATTCAAGGACGACTATTTGTCATTTAAAATGCACATTTACAAATAATTTAATTTTCCATTTCAAGCTTATTATCTGTTATTAAAAACTCTGCCGCCTTTTTAATATTGTTTCATGTACTTGTGTGTGGGATCCAACGTTGGGTTTCCTTATTTTGGATTCATCGACGGGTTACTCAATGTGATTTCACCTTGAACGTTTGTATAAATTAATCTCGCTGCCTAGAATGGGATCGTTTCCTAGGCCCTCCTATCCCGGTGAGATGTGTGTCAACAGATGACCGCAGTACACACACGCACATTAAATTCATTGTAATACTACACTACTTTTAGACTTAAGCATAACTAAGAGAACAATAGAAACAATGCTCGGATTACACACTCGACTAATACGTTCATACCTACCTTAACATCAGTAGCTCCGCACTTCTAAACTTATAATTTGTTTACCTATGATCCTAAGTGGCATTGTTAGCTACAGTCTCTTTTCTCTACTCTCGGTCAGTGAAATTTAATAATTGAACTATTTAATATAGGTAAAATAAATAACCCAAAGAATAATAGATAATTGTTGTTGGTGACTTGGTATGATGGATTTAGTACTTACTTAAAAGGACTTGATTTCGTTAAAAATGAACTGGCGGCAAGAGCTAAGGCTTATACATCAGAATAAATTTGAATAATATTAAATACATAGTGTCTTGAGGTAAACCAAAAGTGACCTACCCGTTGACCTATTCACAGGTGTATACTATGATTAAAGTTATTAAATATATATTATTCCCCAACAAACAAAGTATGTATTAAGTATAGGCTGTCTCTGATGTACATTTTGAGAGAACAACTCCTTATTGATAGATGTCAGTAAGCGTATTTTAGGACGAGTGGTAACGGGGTGTCAAGTGTCCCCGTTACACAGTTAATAATGGAAGAATCGTTTGTTTATAAAAATAAATGATGTGTGAAATTTCTATTCACATCTGTCATTTCTTAACTGCAGAATTGAATTTTCAGAATTTTAAAAATACCCAACTCAAAACTATTTAGTTCATGGTTATGTTAAAAAAAATAGTTGAACATTTCAGTATCCTATTTTTTTTAAATTTAATTTAAATCTTAAAAATCCGAAATTTGCCCGACTTTGTCTACCGGATACACCAGCTAACAATATTGTACGTTAGTTTCACTGTCTGATTAGCTACTAGCTCGTATTATAATAACTCTTCTATTGTCTTTTAAAATCTCTTATGTGTTAACTTTGTATTGAGCAGTACTCACGTTGTCTCCCGTGTATACGTTGTAACGTTTGCGAACGGTCGATGAGGTGTATGACTCTGGATCCGAGTTGGACACCTTGGACGACGGCGGTCGTTTGTTTTCCTTTGACGACCCAGTGAAGAGCATCTTAAACTTGTCCAATCGGGACCGTTTCTTGGCGGGTTTTCCAGTCGACCGGTGGCCCCCGTCGCCGCCGAGTGAGGACGGACCGTTGACGACGGATACGTTGTTTCGGGACACCACCGTAGGTCTGCCGCCGACCGCCGTCCGGGACGGCCTGTCTACCGTGTCGCCATCCTCACCGGACAGTCTGGGTGTACGCCGGGCGAACCGGTGCTCGGTGACGATCTTGCGCTCAAAGTACCGGTCGCCGCCGCCGAGCGTCTCGTTCTTTTTGTACAACGTAGCGTACGTGTCCGGCGTGGCGGGTACCACCGTTGGCCGGATGGTCGACGTAGACGCCGCCCGTTTCTGGAGTCTGGACTCGAGAGCGTCCCTCCGGTGGCTCAGATCTTCATACGATAGCCACGTGTCGTCCATGGTGTTGGCCGTGCGGTACTGATGACCGTCGTCCTGCGTCGCATCCGGTAGGTGGACGATGGTGGGCGACGCCGCCGCCGCCGTAGCCGTGTACGAAAACGGCTCGTTGCCGTTGTGCTGCACGTGGGCGACGGCGTCTGGCCGATTCAGCTTTGGCGGCGGCCGCGGAGGCTCACCGGATAGCTGCCGGACAATCCGGTCGACCTTCTGGCCGCGACGAACAGGACGGGACGGTGACGGCATGCCGTCGAATGGATCGTTGGAGTATTTGAAATACTCGTCCCTGGGCGACGACTCGATGATAGGCGACAGCTGCTTTTTGCCGCGAATTGGCGGCGGCGGTGGCGGAGGTTCCGTCATTCTTGGGGTCCTGTCCGGCGTATAGCTACTCGTCGAGCTAGTTTTGTTATTGACGTTGTTGTTGTTGTTGTTGAGCTTCTTCTTGATCCGCTCGATAGTACCGAACAGCGATATTGATCGTTTGTCCTGATCCTTGCCCTGACCGTTGATCAACGGTTTAGTACGGTCACTCACATCGCTCACACTCCTCTTCAATTTGCTGCCCGACGATTTTCTCGGCCACGTCATGTCGGCCGTTGATGACGAGTCGTTGTTATCTTCCCACGTGTGTTCCCGTTTTTTAATCCTGTTCTTGGGCCTGTCTAGAGAACTATACGATGCCAGTTTACCTGTTCCATACAAACGAAAAAGTACATTATACTTCGTTTATATTGTGTTTATGAATCAAACCGATGTGTAATACAAAAAGTCAATATACTTTGCAGAATCACTTTAAAAGCGATTTAAAATAATATCTCATACACTACACAACATTTTTCAGATTCAACAAATATATTATAAGTAGAAAACATCATACCTCTAATTAAATGGAAATCTGAAAATGCTTAAAACGAGGCTTTCAGTAAATTGGGCCAATAATGTGTGTTTGGCAAGCAACAAAAGTAAAATCTATTTTTAAATCGATCGTTCTTATAATTAATGCTAAACGGTATACTGCCGTAAAAGTTCATAACATTTCTTATAGCCTATACATAAAGTGTGGGAAATTGTTTTAAAAAAGCATGATGCGCTAGGCAATACCTATAAAATAGGGTTATTAATTAGGGCTACGATTTTCTAAGATGTATTTTAGGCTATTGTTAATGATGTTGTCTATACTGCATACCTTCAGAATTCCATTTTTTCGAATCCGTCCCTCCAAAGCTGGATTTCCGCTGCAGCCCATCCGGTTTGTGTCTCTGCTGTCTCCTCGGCGGCTCAGCCGAGTGCAGCGAGGCTACGCTGTCCGCTTGCTTGAGTACTCGGTCAGCCTCCAACGCCAGTTCTCGCTTGGATGCCTTGATCTTCTCCCGGCGAACCGGCGTGGGCACCAAATGGCCCTCACCATCTCCGGCCAACGCTTCCACGATGCTCGCCGCGTCCGAATTGCCTTCGCACATGCAACAAAACCAAACGGATATCGTCAAATTATATTACACGTCATTAATTATTATATTGCAAGTGCACGCACATGTTGCAACACACATAATTATAAATAATAATAATAATAACTGTTTGCACTTTGGATTCTGCAATAATTCACTAGACATATTATACTGATAAATTACAAAAAACTAAATTAACTACACCTCTTGAAAACCAAATACCTCCACCTCCCCCAATTTTTGATACTATTAAATGTAATACTAAAAATATAAAAAATTGATATTACATTATATTAACAAATAACTGTACATTAGAAGAACCTAACACTTTATTTAGTTAATTATAGTTTTGCATGTAAAAACTGATTTTGCACCAAGCCATGCCAACGGAATTCCGTTAAAAATTCTGATTTTGTAATTTACTTTGATTATAAAAACGTAAATCCTAACCAATTTATGATCCTTTTTACAGGCTTACGTTCTGAAGTACAGATATTAGTCTTACTAAATAATTACTAAGATATTGGATCTAACCTTGAGTCTAAAAGGACCATGTCAGTATTTGGTAGGTAAAAAAAAAATTAATTCTACTGAAATTGTACTACTATACATGTAACATGTAAATCTTTATATTGTGTAAAAAAAATCACATCTACGACAAGAATGTAAAATAAGTTTGAAGAGTTTTCTAAGAAAAATTATGAATAATAAGAACTTAAAAGTCCATTTGCTAAAAGTTACAAAATGTGAGTTTTGCTTTTTTTTATAATCAAGGTACCTAATTTTTTTTTAATTTCGATGTTTCTCTGATGGATTTTTTTCGTTAATTAATGTCAATAAGTATTTTTTTTAAAGTTACTTAAACTGTATTTCAAGTACACTATTAAATAATGCTTTATGTATCACGGGCCGTATCAATAACTTGATTCAAATTTTAACAAACAAGGCGAAGAGTAAAAAAAACAGCTGCATCCAAAAAGGGAAAATCAAATTGTGATTTATTTTGCATAGAATATTTTTTATAATATATTAAATGAATTCCCGTATAGCAAAAATGGACATGATTTCAATTAATTCAAATATTTCAAGAAAAAATACAATATTTTAATCAACTGCTTAAAAATAGTATTTTAAATGGAATGAAAAAAATAACATTACATATTTTTAAACTAATGTTCCTATTCAAGGACAAGACTCTTTTCCGTAGTAAACAATATCCCAATTAAATAATAAAAACTGTATTTTTTTTTGTGGTATCTTGTTTATTTTAAGTAGGTAAGTAGTAAGTTTTTAATAGGTAACATAATATATAGTTATAACTTATAACTTATAATACATTTTATAACTCATACATCGTATGTCAAATTTGAATATTTTGTTAATGAAACATTCTATTTATTATTTTTTTAATTACACTGTTAGGCTATCAAATTACTTAAATATATTTTTATCGCTTTTATTTATATAAAAATAATTATTACAAGTCGATTTACGGTAAAAAAGGAGCATATCGTCCAAGACTATGCTGCTTTACTGCAACAAAAATTAAAAACTGACATGTGTCGCTTTCAGCCGTTTAAACGTTGGATTTATCCTTTTTATATAGTCAACTTGGTAGTACAAAATAATTTATGAACAAAATTGATAAAAATGGAGTTCCTTATTCGTTGCAGTTTAACGATTTATATATAACTACATATATATATATATGTGTGTGTGTGTTTAAGTTTGTGTGTGTGTATTATATTAAAATAGTCGGGCGATTAACGTTAGGAAAATAAAGTAAATAGGTTGACATATTGTGCCATGTGGCCGTAAACACACCAGTGACATTGGACGCCGCCTCTTCCTCGGCCTTCTGACTTATAATGGATCTACAGCATATCCTAATAGGTCGGGCGCTTCTGACACTTTTTTTATATGTATATCGCCTATTAAATTATTTTACACAAACACCGGTTACTTGTATTATTTGCGTTTTATCTTACGAAGCAAACCTGTAGTACAATGTTCACGTTGATATTTAGTCTTCCGGATATTGTGCCTATGCGCAAAGTGACAAATCCCAAAGTAAATTTTTAAAACGAAAACCGACAGGACCAATGACAGTTTTTGTCAAAAGAAATTTCATTCAATAGACATTTAACTTAACCTTGAATGAATTCGGGGACTGAACAATTTAATACTTGGTTGATTCAGATCCCCCTCCCCTTCCAATTACTTCCGTCGATCATAATATAATATGAAAGAGTCATAGTGTTATTTATTTATTTCAATTTCAACATGGATGAAATCAAACTATTTCAACTTCTATTCCTTGAGGTTGTTTCGTTTTGAGGAGGTTCCGCGAAATGATGTTTTTACTTATTTGATTTTTTTTTTTTTGGACCATCATCAATCAATGTCCAACGTAGAGTCTTATTCGCCAAACCTACACCGTATCTCTACGTTCATTCTATAATCTGTAATGGATTTCTACCGGCATATAAGACAGTATATCGTAGGTTGTACTGAACGTTTTTTATCGGAGGGTTTTTAAGGTTTAACGTCATAGTATATAGAGCTAAAGTTTATAATGTTATTTACACAGATAATGAAGACATGCCGGGGAAATATGCGGTATTCCGAATAAATATAATATAGTACAGAGTGTCCTGATATGTTTGGAATACTTTTATTACTTCAACGTCGTTCGTGAATGGGCGCTCTGAAGTCTGAAAACGATAGGTAACAAATTTTCATAGACTATAATAATAAAAATGTTTATCATTTGTCTTTTTCAGTTTGCAATTAACAATGATTGATTCGCTGATCGTGGCCTAACCACTGTAATACCTTTCCTAACCTCTCTTCACAATAACATTACCATTAAGGTTCTGTAGGCTTAGGAATATATGTAGCCTATAGGTACCATATTGGGCATTTCTTTATCAAATTCAAACGTGAATATTCTGCCCCCTTCCTTTCTTCTTCAACAATAATATAATTATTAAAATTGCATTTCACTTTAGCGCGAAAACGACAGACACGTTTTACTTTGTCGTTACACCGCCGAATGCCGAATACCGCGTAAGACTTTCTAGGACAGTCTTGTCTGTATATTATTATGTTTTACATTAATTTATGCGTGTGCACGGTATAAATCTATCCTATGTGTAAATGCTTACTTACCGATTTTTTTGATGCGCACATCCCGGTTAAACGACACCCGAGGTCTGGTCGACGAGTCGGACCTCTGCGAATCGGATCGGCTCACGTCCAGCATGGCTGCGGAGTTTATACCAAGATCTGTTCGGGGGAAAAAATACAATTATTATATTATTAAAAATACAAAAAACAACAATGTATTTTATCGTCGATTGCAGTAGCAAGCGCAGGATTCTACAATCCAAATGTTGTACAGGAAATCAGCTAGGTTCTTATGCAACTCCGAAGCTATGCGTAAGTAGGGGGAGTTATAAAAATGTAAAATATCTACCGACGGGCGGCAATACCGATTAGCCAATGAAGTAACTACAATTGATTTGTTCAATGTGTCCTAGAAGGGTCATCGTAGATTTCGCAGCTGAGTAACGTTTTAATACTTTCTGGTAATTAAAAAATTCTCAAATACTTATAAATGAATAGTAAAATATCGACACAGTTAGCTGTTTTTAAACTTTTCAAAGTATAATTAAAAAAGGGGTCAATAAAAAAGGTCAACGCTTCCGTCACATCTTTCCGTGTAAGCCAATTTTGTGTGTAATTAAATCGATTATAATAGTTATTGAGTCATGTATCTACAACACAGTTAAATACACAGTTTGCTGCTTTACAACTTGACTCATTCTTGAACACATTCAACATATACATTAGTTTTCAAAAATAGAACCATTTGTTTCGGCCAGATCTAGTTTTGGAGATACCTATAAGTTAAGGTTCTATTTTTTATCAAAGGTTGACTTTATTATGTTCTATAATATATATAATGATAAATACAGCTGTATTCCGGATTTAAAAGGACCAATCTAGTACATGTTCACTTATTATTAACACAATTGTCGGATAACTAGAAAAAACATTTTTTTATTTTTTCCTAAGGGCCCAATTTTTTTTTAAAATTATTTTTACAAACTAATCTTTTATGATAGGGTATAATACGAGTTATTTAAACTCATTTTACTAAAAAACTCAGTTATACTACTCGACTTTCTTATTAAATTTTACATTTTGCTTTACGTTATATAAAACAAGGAATTATACGTACATTGGATTAATACAGTTTGTTTTAAGAACAACAATAGTTATTTTACATGCATGTATGTATATGGTCGTTGCTAAGTAATGGATGTACTGCAAAATATTTTTAAAAATCAGGTTCTGTGTTATAGAAATTATTTATATTAGCGGTTTGAATTGGTCTGATTACATTATTTTAACGATCAAAAAATATGATTGAAGTAAATGTTGACCCGCGTTATCTCTGTAGTAATAAGTTTTTAAATGTTTATCTGGCGTGTGGGTCGTCGGGGAATGCAAGAATGAAAGAAAAATAAATAAAAAAGTGCGACGGGTCATAATTATTCGCCGTGTAGATTTCACGGGTTATAAAACAAAACGGAGATAGCGTTCAGCATATAAGTAAGGGACTTCGAGTTATTCTACTTGTTTCGTATGTGCTACGACTGCTACGATTTGGTATTATAGTAGGCAAGTTGAGGTAGGAGTCAGGTGGACTATTGCGTCATTGCCGGTACTGTCCATGTAGGGTAACCCGGGTATCGGAGCCCGAGGACCGCCGGTGTGGCCCACACGAAATTCGCGGCGGTGTCGCCCACGCTTAACCGCACCTCCCCCTCCGCCTATTACCCCAAATGCGCTATCATCGTCATAAGTTTTGAATCATTTTTAAACAATTTTTTTCAGAAATTATTACCATGACCGACGAGACTGGATACTCTGACGTGTAATAATGCGGTCAACGATGTGTATTGGTGAAGCAAACGATAATTGTCCATACTCCCTCACCCTTGCAATAGAACTTTTGTTTTTTTTTTTACAAAATCATCATATGCCTTTTTTTACAATAATTATAGTTCTGATATAATATTGTAAACTATCCGAGTCAAAATCCTTTATCTATAAGTATTATTTATTCGTATAGTGCCGTCTTTTCAATGTAATATTTATTTATGTCGACTGTAAAATGTGTAAGTGTCAAACTAAAAATAACACTATAAAAGAAAGTCTATAATAATAAATCATTTTGACGACAGAATATTATAAAAAAAAAAATATATGTGTTGAACACATTTTTTTCTCTTTGCTCTTCTGTCAAATATTCGTTATGACAAAAATCACGTTTAAATTTCAGCTCTCTCGACCTAGCTTTTGATACATTTTATCGAAACTAGCTTTTGCACCAATTACAACTTTTAAATATATATTCAACTAAAACAGCTTAGGTAATCAACACGTTTTCTAAAATAGTGTTTTATTAAAAAAATACATTTTTACATTGTAAATAGTAGGACAAACCAATCATAAACTCACAAAAATGTTGTTGTCTATAGATATAGGTTTTCTATAACTCTATAGAGTATAAGCTGAACTACAAGTTTTAATTTTGAAAAATATCGTTAAACCAATTTTTTCAAGTCAAAGTTGTCCAACACGTTTGTGGGTTTAGCTGTTCTGGGGGTACGTTTTGAACGTCTTAGAACGTTGATTTAGACAAATTTATAATCTAAATTTGTCATTTTTGTTATTTTGTTAAATATAGGTTAAAATGGGCCCAAAACTTTTGACGCGCTTAAGTTGCTAACATATAGATAAAATATAAATATATATTATTTTTTCAGTATATTTGTTTATCATTAACCGTTGTACCTGATGACGAAGGCCGTTCTATGTGCCTGTATTTTATAATACATGTGTTACGCTATATCAGCCGTCAAATCAGAGAGTTTTCTTACTGTGTTGCTAATAAGTAATAACATTCATTCGATCGAATCCGTCAAGGTCAATTAGAGTGCTCGTGCGGTTCAAGAAAGAGATGGAAGAGTTTCGCCCACGCTTGATCGCTACCACGCACACACACACACCTATCTCCAGATATACTTCATAACATCGATTAATTTCATTATTGATGTGCTTTGAGTTTGAACACGAATTTTTTTTTGTACTAGCACATGAGTTTTAAAGGAAGACAAGAAGATATTAGTCTGTATGGTTTTTTGCATTGTTGTTATATTCAAAATAACATTATCGATATGTATTAGACTGATAATATAAATAAAATATGTAATTGTTTGTACGCATATTACCGTATTATAATATACTCAATAATATTTTTAGTGTATACAAACGGTGCGTAACGGCGACTAGTGCCGAAGTGATTGATCGACTCGGATGGGCGTACGCCATAGCCATTTTGTATTGTTATACATCCATGTACTTTTCGCGTTTTTAGCTAATCGTACATACTTATATAAATGATGTTTTATTAACAGCAAGTATGATAGGCGCCTAATAACGGTCGGTATCGCGTTCCGTCCGCCGTCTTGGTACACGTTACTACAAAAGTAGCCGATAGATCCACAGACAGATCTGCTTCTGGTCTGCACGTCACAGCATACTATCACAGAGTAAGTCCGTATGGAAAAACTTAACTCATTTCTTTTCTGCCGCCGGCGAATATAGTTTAATAATATGTGTTAAGAGGCCACGAAGTTTTGACGGTTTTATATTATACAAAATGTTTATTTATAAATCCGTAAAATCCTAGTGACCCACATTATACCAGTAGGCTTGCACTACAATAAGTATACACAGATAACATAGTAAAATAACGAACAGCAGTTAGCAGAGCAGAGCTCTTCTGTCGAAAACTCTCCACAGACCATACAGCCGAGGAAATGTCTAAAAAGGGTTAGGCAAAATTCTGAAAATTATTAATACGGTGTCCGGCCCACGCTTGTTGTAAGACCGTTGCGCCATCCGTGGTTTGTATAGCTGTTAGTCGCACACAATGTTTTTTTTAATCATATTTTGCTCATTAAAAATCAGATATTATCAGATTATTATTGATCAGATAAATTGCTTCTGCGTTGGCTTGTACTTGAAAAAAACTCACCGTGCACGGTTGGCGCAAGTGTGGTTTGTAATTGTTCAAACACACGTGCGCCACATTGATGCATTCGACGAGTTTGTCAAAAGGTGTTACGAGTAAACAAAAACGGCGCCATAGGTAGATAATAATATGTTTCACAGTATTTCGTACTGTAAATCTGGTATATTTTTAATCTGTGAGCGGCAATTTTTGATTTGTATCACTCACTGCTGTTATATTGTATTAGTGCAGAATGTCGGTGGACTGCTGTCGTTGGCGGACGGACGCCGTACGTGGCTGAACAGCACCGGATCGTGGAATCACTATTGCAGCAAACAGTGGACGTTGAAACCGATACGGAGGAAATGTACCAGTAAGTGTGTGTAATGCACGTGTATTCCTATTACCTATACCTATGTCCTATACTATCCAGTCGTTTTTTGTTATATCGTGTTATGCTACTTTCGTGACCAAAACGGTCAAACAGAAGAACGCGAACAACCGCTCAAGGTCCGCGTTCCCAATTTGGGGACCGTTCCTACTAGTTATGCCAGTTCTTTACATGTTTTTGTTTCACATCCGAGACGAAGGCCCCGCAGATTTCAGGGACGGAGTTAAAACAGAAATGTCCATTTTCGACTTAAAACAGGGTCGACTTCAGACAATAGACGACAATATACTTCGAAAATTGCTTAGGAGCATTTGGAATTATTGGAGTTATTTATCCATTAGTTTGTTCTGTTCATATTACAAATAAAACAGACATATTACAACGCAAAAACGTCTGTAGGCGTAGACGCAATTCCGCAGTAAGGTAGAGATGGTGTAGAGTTCTAAGTTCTTAAAAGTTACCACTTAAAAAAAACAGAACCCATAAGTTAATACAAATATCGATAGACACATTATTTGAAAACTATGCCAAAATTGTACTCTTGAAATAAAACTGATTGTGAATTAAATATACCTTGTTTATTACTAATATCATGAAGCGTACTTACATATCTAGTTAATACTATATATGGCCTGAAATGTAAGCAATGTTTTAAAATGTGTAGCTCTATTAAAGAACGCTGTTAGATCCTTTGTCGCTTTTACCATTTTTGATAAGATTACATATGATCTTACCCCTATCCCAAGATTCAAAAAACAAATGTTTTATGGACCATAGCTTCTTTTTTGAGGAAGCAAAATACTAAAAGTAATTTTTTAACAAAAAATATTGGCAATTTTATCAGCTAAAACTCAAAATGTAGTTTTGTGTAGTCGGTGTTCCTGATTTTAAAATTAATTCAAATTTGAAAATATTGCGTTTTAATTACAATGTACAAACAAAGTCAAATAAGTGATTCATAACATTTTTCATAGCCTTACAGTGTTAGGTTCTTCGTTCCTTTAGTTATACAAATGTACACCAAAGCTCTACAATCGCCAATAACTAAAATAATTTTTCGTTGACCATTGCTGTCACCCAATCTTTCTTCTACATGAGTATTGTTGTTGTTATTATTGCTAACGACTTCATTGTCGAGTTTATTATACCTAATAATATTCTTACTGTCATTGTCTATGCCCGTGGCTGTGTCGTCCTTGGAGTGTACAAAAAGGTTTATTATTTTTATTTTCAACGCATTAACTTCTGCAGGTCGAACGAAGAGAAGAAAATATCTCAACCAAACCCAACAGCGTTGCGGCGGACGACGGAAGCCGTTGATTGTTATGTGTATGGGATGGGCGTTTTTATGCGAATGTCATCTCCAAGTGTGTGTGTGCACTTGGTTCGATGCATATTGCGCGTTAAGTGCACGCAACTCGTCCCTGAACGGCACTGCAATAATTATTCTATACTGTCCCACATACCTAATGTACTTTGTGGTAGTGCAACATAAATGCACACGACACATGACGTAGGTTCGGATTTTATAGTTTTAACGATCGACAGCTCAGCTGATCTTAATAATAATAATAATAAGAACGCGGAAACTCGTTTACCACACACAAACACATGTGTAACGAGAATTTCGACTTGCGCAATCTGATATTATCTGGAAAACATATAATATACCAGATACCTTTATAAGTGTGTGTGTGTGTGTGTGTGTGAATGACGAGTTTGAGTACATGATAGTATGTTATACTAGTATAACGCCAACTTAAAAAAATCTTTTAAGCATTAGGCGTCAACATACAACACCAATCATCCTTATAGAGAGGGCGCAGATATTATCAATAAACGGTTTTCACTTTTTTATTTTTAGTATGGTAGATATATTATGTTCAATGACGTCTGTACATTAGTGACTTTACAAGTTGGCGCTTATTGCAATTGTAAACACTATTCTTGGTCGTCATGTATGATACTTTGTTTTTTTTTTGTCGAACCCGCGATGCTATAGGACAGACATACTTCAGCGATACCGTTCTCTGTTTATCATTGGTATAATTTTTTAGTCTCGGAACTCACCGAGATGAAAGCAGTGACTGTTTTATAGGATAAGGCGAATCACGTTGAGTTAAAACGGCAGCTTGGGGGAATTTGTTGTTTGATGGCGTTATAATATACAAAAGACTTATCCTGCAATTGAATCGACAACAGCTCTTACATCGTAATATGGACACAAGAAGGGAAAATGTACGAAGAAAGTGTTTTATAATAATCCCTTTTTAATACCACTGTAAACCGCTGACAATTAATAGAACGGCTGGTGTCAAATCAATAGTATCATTCAAATTTGCGCATTGCGAATTTATTTTTAACAATTATCTACAGAGTCGGGTTGGTTTAGCTGTGCCATCTAAAGTTATGCAAACCGCATCTTGACCTAACCCAATGACACGCTATTGTCCGTTGTGATAATAACAATAATAACACCAGCGTTCTAACGTGACACGTACCGTGTAAATGTCACATCAAGGGAAACAATGCACGTAAGCCGACGCCTGTACATACAAATAGCTAATACCGCTGCTAGGTAGGTCTCCTGTGACATTCAGCTTGCAAAGTTCCAGCACCTCTATAAAGCGTCACTGATACGTATTGTTGAACTCGGTCGCTTTCCGATTTATTATATTCTAATAAACTTACAGCCTCTAAAGCTTCGACTTGCAGTACATTGCCCAAACAACTATACGGTGTAATTTCTATTATCCGAGGTCGAGTCAGGCGGTAACGATGCGAACCATCGATCGGCACGTACACGCATGTACAACATCCCAACCATACATTCAGGCCCATCGAAAACAGATTAACGACTGTCCTGTACATCATAAACTCTTCGGTAAAATGCACGGAGGTAGCATACACAATGAGTCTGGGATCTTTTGTTCTCGAGGCTTTCGTTAATACCACCTCGTATCTTATAGGGATTTTCGTATTCTTAAATCTCCTTCGTTGCTGATGCTGCACACATTTATAGTTGTATCTTAAATAAAGCGCGTTCTTCGAACAACCGAGCAATTCGAATATAAATTGTGCACACATATATAAAACGTTGCGAATAAAAAATAATTATTATGTTTAACGGCGTTTACTGTATTGATTTCAGCAAATTGCAGCTAAATGAACCGCGCGAGAAACTTTTTACGAAGCTTTGATTAAAGAAAATAAAAATAAAAACTCGTAGAAATGACAAAGAAAACTTGGTATCCGAACTCAGACCAAAAGGTATATTATATCCGCCCATGCGTTGTTTTCTTAGTAAAAAATAACAAATTGAAATTTCCATGCAATCAAAGAGTTCAAAATGCGTTAAGCGATCAGTTAATATGCCGAATGGGCATAAGGCACCTGTTGGCCATGGTTTGACAGCCCACAGGAACAGGCGATCGTCGTTTGGCAGATTATCTAAGGTAAAAGTGTTGATTAAATTGCTTTTGCTAGGTGAAAATTGCTTAAGAACTATTTATCAGAGTTTTCGAATTGTATTGCTTATTATTTAAGTTGGGATATTTTCTTTGTGATACAACCATAATATTCATTAGCCCTCCTAAAAAATGTAACTGCACGTCGTGTAAAGTCATCGTAAAGGTAACTGGATTCGAAATGTTGAGTTTTTTTCGTTCGATACGTATGCACCTGATTATTGTCGCAAGTACAGCAGATTATTTGGGGCCTGGAAGTAAAGTTTAGCAACTTGACTATAAGAAAATGTCAGCAACTAAACTGACATAAAGCTTAAGGCTTTTTTATCCAAATTTTGTGGGAACCCGGAGGAATTTGAAGAGTCTTAATTTCACAAGCGACCCCCCCCCCCCTCTCCACATATTAATGTCAGGAATTTTTGTACTTTTTACGTATCAGATAAGCAGCTATCTATATGATCGACTTTTGTGATTTTTTCGTGGCCATTAATATAGTTTACTGGGTCGGCATATACTAATAACTATTAAGAGATGACGCCAGTACCAGTGCTGCTGTTAACGTCGGACCGCACGCTTATGTTACCAATGTGTGTGTGTGACTGTTAGTCGATCTAGCGCGAGCTGTGGGCGTGACAGGTGTAGGTAGACGATCCGGCATGTTATAGTAATAACTAATACATAATAGTAATAATAATAATAATGACATTATAATATAGCAGTAATGTTTGTTAGGCTTACGATAGATCTCAGAAGTAATGGGTGGGGCGGGTAGACCAACATCAGCTGTGAACGATACGACTGAGAAGATGGGACGCCTACTAGCAACCGTGGCAAGGGCATGCGAATCGATAATATTATTAATATGATTATCACCACTGCAGTAGTTGCTTCAATACTTCCGAAAAACGCAGTTACCGTACATTGACAGCCGACTACAAAATAAACTTTTAAAACAATCTTGCTGAAAGATTTTTATTTTTTTACGAGATATGTTAAAATATTACAATAAAAACCGTTTGTTAATGTAATGCTAAGCTAAAAGTGCTCCTAAAAATGTTTTAATGTAAGCCACTTAAGTGCATGCAATCCATTGCGTGATGGCAAAATGATAAATGATTGGTGTATTTCTTGTTGTATTTTGCTACTATAAAGTTACTTCTCAAATTCTGCAGTTAGGTCTATAAATCATGAATATTTTTACTTATATTATTATTATAGACAGAAGAGGAAAGCTAAAACATTGTACAGCTTTAGAAATTTGTAATCTTCTTTTGTAGTCATTAGCCATGTCTATGTTTATGATCTAAATCACTTTTTTATTACTAAATGTTTAGTGCTGATGTGGAATTCAGAAATGTTTTACCTATTGTCGTTTTATTTGTGCTTAGATAATATTTAACATTTAGACGGATTATAACGAAAATAACATTTATCCTACTCTACCAACATTTATTTGTACACTTAGTGTTATATGTGTTACTTTTTTTCATGAATTTAAGTATATGTATATGTATAGTATATATTCATCCCTTGACCCCTGATAGACTTACGCATATTTTTTCTTGACTTTTATTTTGCTTACAATTTTCTATAGTGCTACTAGGCTGACACAAATTTTTATTTTTTAAACAAACTTATTTGTATAGTCACCAACAATTTGTTAGTAGTGGAGATGACTGAGCAAATGCCAAGGACACATCGACTGTAAATTATTATTAGTATTTATTACTTTTCACCTGATCAAAGAGTAGGTTACATGTTCATGATTATTATTCGCACGTGTTAGCAAAAGGCGTTCACCGTTATTAGGCACCCATAAAATTACTTATAGCTAAATATTTACGTCAACGGAACCGATTTTCGTCTTTCTCTCAAGACAAAAATAAATACATATTATATTCTTTTCGCGTCGCCATCGATGACGTTAATGAATGGTAAATCTAATTAGAAAAAACCTACGACATCGTTGTTTTAGCAATTATATTTCTATCGAACACCCTGTGCGGTTTGTGTGAGCGAACCGATTCTCCAATTCTTACTGTTAAACCCGTCATCATAATATAGAGGCGGTCCTCATTATTGGCTATTTCTTTGATGACAAAAAATACAGTTAATTTTTACAATATTGTATGTGCATATTATCCTGTTATGAAGAAAAAAAAACCTCGCCTCGCCTATTGTGTATTACATTGGGAGGAATGCATTACCGCTAATCCGACGTAACGCGTTATCGTAGTGACACGCTCGCTCGGTGAATATTGTCTTCGTTAATAGTCGTTCCTATACCGTTATCATCGTGTAGGATTGGCACGTGTAGATTTACATAAAACGCTAAAAGACACCTCAAAACCAGATCCTATGAAAAACGCCCACCTCCTTGTAATTAACATGCACCAGTGCAACAAAACGGTCTGTGGCAATACAGTTTTGGTGCTACCTAGGGTCAACTTTTTTTGAGGAGTCTGCGTAGCCTTCGTAATACTGATACCATAGGTGATAATATAGCCTTCGAGATCGAATAACGTTTACCGTCAGTAAACTTTCTTAAAGAATCTAATGATTAGATATTTCAGATCATCTATTACAGAATCAACTGTGGGCATTTCCCAACAATTCCGTCAACAATCGTGAGGCGAAAAGGGAAGAGAGACCTGATGTTACAAAGTGTTAATGACCGGATCAAGTTATGATAATATAACCCAATTGAGTGCAGTTATTTTCTATAGATTTCTGTTGCTACATTTATAATATAAAAGATGTAGTTTTTTATTGATTGAAATATGTACGTGGAAGATGAGACAAATCGTACCTATTGAGTAAAGGTTGCGACCTATATTTCCGACCCTAAACAACTGCAATAAATGACAAAGTGGAAAAAGAAACTTGTAATTTCATGTTTTTTGGGGGACCAAAAATACTACTACACTTAAGCCCTCTGCGCCTAGTTGCGTTTATGTCGGTGTGGCACCATAACGAGTCAATCGCGATTGCTTAAGATTACACGCGACGGATAGTTAACCGATAAGGACACTACCAGTAGTCCAAGCTCGACTATACGACAATTATAATACCTACATAACTATATATTATATATCAATATAATGGCGAAGATGATATATTGCAAGTTACCCAGATATGTATCCAGAAACGATAGAAATGCATCTGTTGTGCATATAGAGTTGTTGTTCCCCTTTATGAGTTTCTCGTGAGTATACATAGTTCTTACCTTATACAGCTATTTTGTCATTAAAAAGTAAAACCATAAGAAAAAAATTAATTATTGATGCAATCATAAATCGATCAGCTAATTGTACTCTTTGGGTTCAATTGCGCAACGGTGTGTTCAAAGAACATAATATTATAGTACGCCAAATACAATAGTTTTCATATTATGTTATCAAAAATTGGTCAATGCCACAAACAATGTCACATTTATCATTTTGATATTTGCACTCAATACTTAAAAGTTGTAGTCTAAAGTGTATCTGTACTTGGGGTCTAAAAGCGCATACGCCTGGTAAACAACTCTTACAACTGCTTACTTTGATAGGTCAAAAGTTAACAGTTTATTCCTTTTCTCTCAAAATCAGGAAACCAGAAATACAATTTGGTGTTTTTTTTTTTTAAATTTCAACGTTTACTTGGTATAAATTCCCAAGAAAAAAGGTCAGGTTGAATCCGCCTTAAAACCAAATTGTGTTCAATCCCTTTCTCTACCAAAAAACAGTGGTTTTATCAGTAAAAAAAAAAAATTGGCACAATACTTTTAGGAGCTAAAAATTCTACTAAAAGGCAGAAGGTGTATTATACGAAAATATATCTTTATAATTTAAAAAAAAAACTATTTTCAAATTAGTCATGTGAAATTTCGGCAGTTATTGTTTTTCAGTTTTTTCTACTTTAAACTATATTTGCATGAAGCGTGATTGAGACGACGCTGGTCATGCGTCGACTGAAGGTCGTTGACGGACAATAAAACACAACCTCTCCTCCTAACTCCTATTGCACATACATACATACATATCATTATTCTTATTTGATTTGTATTTATTAACGATTGTCCGTCTTTGGATTTTTGCTAATACGACGTGCATCACTATGAATAAAAAACTATTCAAACAAAAAAACAATAGGTCGTCTGCCGCAATAATATCCGCATCGTATCCATTTTTGATAGAAACAAACAATATAAACAAAAGGTATAATAATATATTATTTTAAAATCGATCGTGATCCGCGTTTTTTATGTATAATTATTTTCCAAACAATCGTAATTGACTAATTAGTTATTACGGCTCGTATATTGCAAAATGTTCAAGAATCTGCAGACCTTGATGAATCGCGATTTACCCATTATGATTACTTTTGTTTTTTTTTTTATAATAAAAAAATACTTCTTGTATTACCCAGACCAGTAGCTGCTACTCGGTAATTGAACGTTTGAAATTACCGCATACTCAGTTCATATAGACGCAAGTACCCTAAGGTCTATATGGCGACTGGCGTGATCAGATTTTTGATTGGAGAGATTATGTACAAGGAAAAAGAATATACTTATCGGTTATTACGTCTGACAATAAACTTAGTGAGACTCATAAACACTGTATTTTTAAAAGAACATAAAATATAAACGACTCTTTCTAAAAGAATGCCGTAAAAAACGATAAAAAACAAGTATAGTATACTTTGAAACATTTTTTTCTAGTTCTCTGTCTCCTGGCGTTTTAAATTTTGCAATATGTTATCATTTTTTAATACTTATGTGGCAATGCGTTTAGTTTCCTATAAGGCTGACTTCTGTCAGATTACAGTAAAACATTTACCGATCGAATCTTATCAGTAGCTAATTTTGACTTTTTTTATTTTATTATTGTTTTCCTAATAAAGTAATTTTTAAAAATGCTCTTATAAGTAGGTAATAGGTATAGATTGAGTATAGGCAAGCCAGGGCAAGATACTAATTTATATTGTACGGTTTATTAACAGTAAATTGTAATCAGTAACCTTTTTGTAAAATGAAAGCTTTAATGCTAGTTTAAGCAAAGTTACTTAATGTGAAATTGGATTTTTGAATCGAAAGTACAGATTTATTCTAAGATATGAATTGGTAAATTAGATAAGTTGTATTTATTAAAAATATATTATAATAAAACATGATGGAATAGAAAATAATGGGATAAGGTTTTATGAAATGGTGTGTTTGTTGACAAAATAATAACTCGAAATCAGATATCATGGAGGTAATATCAATTTTATTCGGAAGATATAACAGTATGTTCAACAACATCTTTATGCTCAAATTTTCGTACTGAATTTAATACGGATTATTTTAATATTACTGAAAAAAATGTAAAAATATATGTTGTAAAATGCTAATGTGATTTTAAAAAAAAACTGGACACAAAAAACATTTTTAAATATATACAAGCGATTTCAAGATAATGAAGTCGAAAAACACTTTATCAGATCAAGTTATTATACTCGTAATAACACTAAAGATCATTATTTTTTTTTATTATTTATAATTACTATCAAATGTCAAACGGAACGAATAGGATGAAATTCAATTTTCCAGTTAACCTTATTTATTATATTATTCTGATAGCTGGAGACACGTTTAGACGACATGTGCGTTAACGTTGAGAAATCATTTATGGCACTTTGTTACGAATGTGTAATAAACTTTCATTTTTTTCTTTCATACCCAAATATGCATTAGGCACTGTGGTTTGTTGCCGCAACACGATCACAGCACAAAATTTTCGTATAAAATGATCGCAACATCAACAACCGTAATTTACCAAGTACCAATAATATATATAGACACGAAATAATATATGTGTTGTCTGCATCGTTATATAATTATTATTATACATACAAATAGTATAAATAATTTGCTTACAGCGTAATTACGTCCCTGCCATATATAGTCATATGTATGTATCTATTTAGTAATGTGTGCGTTGATGTGCGGGGGCCATTTCATTTGCAAGTCCACTATCATGATATTAATAGTTATATTATTAATTAATATTATTATCAGAAGCCGCGCTAACAGCATAAACTCTAATATTAGTTCTGTTCGTTATTAATGCCATAAAGAAGTGATGACTAAACAAGGGTAAAAACAAATAATCCACCAAATTTGTTTTAAAACTTTTTTTTTCTTTGGCCAAATGTTTTGTATACAGTTCGTCGACGGTACTTGTCAGCTGGCTTAAAATATGTATTGTGAATTGTTTATAATTTGTAATCGTCAACTAGTTACATATCGTCTTACCGATCGATTATTTAGGTGCATAGTATTGCATTGTATGCGTGTGTGGTTTTGTTTGCTGGCCAAAGGTGACGCAGAGGCGTCAAACACAAAAAAAACCGTTGGTCCAACAGTGACACGGAAGGGGACGCTGGACGAGTAGATTGCCGACGGACTAGCTCCTACGCTCCGCGTTCGGGTGTCTTTTTTTAATTTTTCATAACTAACGGATTTTTTAATTTTATTTTATTGTTACCCATTACAATTTATTATTGTTATTGAAGAAAATACAAATAAGTCATTGTATTATATTATTTGACAACCAATTAATGTAAAATACGGCTCGTGCGACGAATTATATGTTTCTTTTAATCTCTAAGGCCCACTACGTCCGGAATGAACGAACCGGCGGGACACGACAGACTTACGACCGTTAAAATATTTCAATATTTATTGCCATTATATTTTTTTGTTGTCTTGATAAGATCGGCTATTAAGCTATAGGTCGCACGAGGCCAATGTTATGATCTTAGTCTAATGGACCATTCGCAAAGATCAGTGGTCATCTCTCTCTCTCTCTCTCTGATCAGAACAGACAGTAATTATTATTGTCTATGGAATTTGCTGTACCGTGTACAACCTATTGTCATAATGAACTCAACAAGCTGTCGAACGTCACTAGTAAATGCGTTTCGGATTTGCCCTCGATTAGGGTGATCTGTACTTGGTGTCGAAGGCGAATACAAAAAAAGCGGACGGTAAACTTTAATAATCGACGCAACGTAGTTTATCTGTATAGACGGTGACACTGCACTACATATTATTATTATATTATATACCTACTCGAATAGGTCGTTCAACTTGTCACTCACCGCGGGTATAATATTATATACTTGCGAGGATATCAAAAAATAAAAATAAGAAACACGACGTGGGTATAAGCCACACATACCACTGTGGCTGCCGCATCCATTGTATTGTACCAAAAATATGTATCTTTGTAACGGCGCATAAAATATGCTAACCAAATCAAACGAGATTTCCGAATTGGCCAAACAGTAAACAGGGACACTCCTACGCGCATAACAGAGTTTCTTTATTAATAATAAGAAGAATAATTTTACGGATTTGACGTCGACATAGTTTCTTTATACCCATCGTACACGTTAACCTTACAATTAATTGGCACACTATCTTACGGTCCACGGTCCGGAGCTGAAAAGGTATTGTTTTCACAAAGACGCTATTATATTTTTATGTCTCAACTCACAATATTTCCTAAACCGTTGAACTGATTACTTACTTTTTTAATAAATCTAAAAATCAAAAATCGTATCTGAAAATTATTTTATAAAGCCATAAATGAAAAAAATCCACCTCTTCCCATTTAAAATCGAGAAAACATCCCAGTAGTTTATGTATTTTTCAACTTAAAATAACGGCATATTAAAACTTTTCTAAAATTTGTTAAAATATGCTTATGAAATATTCTTTATACGTTTGAGTATTATTGCAGCAACTCTTTTACCCAAAAGTGGTAGAAACTTTTTAGTTTCCCATTTGTAGGTGTAGTTTTAATGTTTAAGGTCTGACTGAAGGATAGACGACAGATGTAAGTGGGAGCTATAATAAAAACATTTTCTCGAAAATCTGTAGTCGAACTTTGCTTGTATTGATATTAAATATCTGTTTAGAAATGATTTAAGTCTTAATTTTAGTCATAATAATTCTTGAAAACCTAATACCTCCCCAAACCCACAATGCTCCGTCACTACTACCTATGCGGTATGCCCTGACCCAACTATGCTGACTTTTTTTAAAAATACAGTATTTTGAGGTGTAAGTATACTTGACAAAGTAATCAAGCTGAACGTTAAAAAATACATCTACTTATTTCACGTGTACACAAAAATACACGTATCCGATGTTCCTGTTTAAGTTAGTCAATTTTCAAGATACACAAATAACTGCGATGTACGTAATTAATCGAAAGTTCCAGTAAAAACATCTACAGAACTGATGAAATGCCAAAAAATCGTTTGGTATCAATTTTGTATTGTATTTTGCAATACAATCTAACTTTGTTAAGTACAAAATAATTCAGATTTCTGATTGTGTTGTATTCTAAGCTTGTTTGTGATTTCTTCATCATTAGTTCCCATTACCGTTAACTCCACCTTGATCATTTTTTATTGAGACCTAATTGATTGTATCGTCTTAGAAGCCGAAATTTCGCTAAAAACACTATTCACGGTTAAAACCAGACCCTTTGGCCAAGTAGTGTGCAAGAAAAAGAAACAATCGTTTACTTTAAAATCTCGGCGGACTGCCACAACTTTCATCAGATTACCTGCCTTACGATGCAGATTTATCATTCGTGTTTGGTACATATAATTGTTTTTGGTAGTAATAACAGGAATTATAATGGTATAAAAGTTTAATTTGTCATTCAGAATTTGAGTACTCCAAGCTTGTTACCAACCTAAAGCGCTATATCACAATATTGTATTAAATAGTCACTGCCTAGAGCAATTGGTTAATTTTTATTTTTGAGTAGGTAATATAACTGGAAGGTTTGGAATAATCTTCCTTGTACATCTTCCAGCTTTAGGTTCGTCAAATTTCTTTCTTTTTTTTTTTTAAGAGAGGAAGAAAATTACCCTTGTTTACTTTTAATGTATTATAATTTTTTATTATACTGTAAAAAAGTACTAAGTACTAGGTATGTATTGGAATTGTCATAAATATGTAAAAAAAATATGGCTAAAAATGAAACATCGGAGCTAAAAAAATAATTTAGAGCGTACGTTCACCGTGGAAATTGGTCAAGGGCAAAGGTCATAATTTTACACACGCCGATGCACGTGAGTCGAAACGATTAAAATTATAATCCTAAAACGCTTAGAACCGTTTGTTTTTTTTAATTCAGAAAAATGCATTTAGTAATACGGCTATCGTCGCACTATTGTACTATTTTGAATACGGAGTACCTACATAAATTCTGCATAACATTATACCGCATTATTATCTTGTGACCGATATGTTGAATTGCCTAACCGTAGACGATTTTGTGTTCAAGATGTGATTGCGACAATGACTAACAATGAAATTATATTTTGGTCTTATGAAAATAATTAAATCCTATTGTAGTATGCGTTTTTTCAATTGACATTGTCTGGATATCGGCTAGGTTTTTGGTGAAGTTAGAACGCACGCTTAACGAGACTTAATATACAATTACAATCGTTAAACAATACCTGTCTTGATATTTTTGACTGGGAGTATTTTAACCTGACTGTGCAAGAAGAAGATTAAGCATCTAGTTATGTTTTTTTTTACTTTGCTCTTGTGAGTCCGAAGACTTTCGATTGTCAATGTCGATATTGTATTGAATGTCTTTCTTTAAGAAAATATTATCGGGTTTGTACTCACCATGATCCTTTAGAAACATTTAAAAGTCCACCGAGAAAAGTCGGCCGGGGTTCATGATCCGTAATAAGTACACTGGGAAAATATTACTCAAACAAAATATGCAGCACCATAGAGAAAAACTAATTTTATTATTGGCAAATAAAAATAAATTTCTTCGAATTCCGTTTGTGATGTTTTTTGAAAAAGTGTTGGCGAGCACGTTTTTCGCGCCGTGCCGTCGTCTCGGTCGAGCACCGGATCAGTTGGCTGACTTGCACCTGCACCACCGGACCGCGGACCGGCCGTTTTGAAACTAGTTCGTACTTAGCCGATGATCAATGATCGCGCCGCAGATCGACGGACCTCCGCACAAAATCCGCGGGCGCCCTACTCCCGGACGTCCCAACGCAACAGCCGGTCCGACCATGGTTGAATCGCGCACATGTGGTATAGACGTTGTTGTGCTGATCAGTGTATAATCCGGTAAACCGACCGTCAACCTTTTGGCACCATCAACCAACTTCTTGAGCTTAATAATAAAAAAACGTATAATCCGTACCGTTAACAAGGTTTTATCATAATTTTGAAGACAAGCCAGGTGTGTCTGGTTATTAAAGTCGAAAATATTTTCCATAGCCCAACAGTACCTTTAAGTGTACATCACTGGCACTTAACTTAATTTTCAAGTTGTTATAAAATCACAATACAAACCGCCAATAAACCAACTTGAAGTAAAAAACAAATAAAAGAAAATAAATTTGATCGATATATTAATAATATTAATATTAAAAACTATTTTCGAAAGGGAGAAACGGATTTATAAAATAAAAATAGCGTTTGAATACGTTAAATTAAAATCAGTTACAGAATACAATTATTTATAAATTATATTTTTAACACAGGCTCTCATTTCCCTAAATCTAGTAATGATGAGAATACCTGGATTTGACAAATTATACGAATTTTCCGTTTTCAATTTTTTTTTTCATCGAAATTATACCCAATTTTGTACAATTGTTTTGTGTTTTTAACAGACATTTTTTCTAGGCAAAAGTTTTTTTCCGAGATTAAAAATGTAGTCCAAAAAAAACTATGATGTCCCTTAAAGTTAATCAAATCAAAATTTTAGTCCTATATCCTTAATTGTAAGGGAACTTGCAGTATAGTTACTTATTGTTTTACTTTTGGGTGATACGTTTAAAGGAGTAACTTAACACAGGTCAATACACATTGCTAAAACTTAAATAATAAATAAATAGTGTGTTTATGGGAATTAATTAAAAGTTTTTATATAACTTTTTAAAGGTCTTACCGTTTATTGTGCTCTAGATTTCATAGGAGAGCATTAAATTGGCTAGTCACAGTTTATTCAAATATAATAGTTAAACTCTTCCGGTAAATAGTTATATGTTTGGACATGGAACCGGACTTGAAAATGTCACTATTTCACAACAGCCTTATTTTATTTCCTAAAATGAGCTAAGATGAGCTTCGCCTAATAAACAGCACTTAAGCTATGGTTTCGGCCTATAGCTAATAGAATGTATAATAAATCTAGAAAGGAGATGGGAAATAGAAATATGATCGGTTATATGGTTGGAGTATGGACATAGTATTACTGTAGATAGGAAAGTTGTCGTGTCACTTTAATGTAAACAGACACATGAAAATAAACGAGAGAAATATTTAAAAATATTCAGTATTTTTTAGGGTTAAGCAAAACTGAGAAGCCTGAGAAGTTCGAGTAAATGGATAGAGAAACGGGGAGGGCGAAAGTGTATAAAGTAATAACAATCCACCTGTGTGGGATAGGGGCGTCAAGGAATTATGTTTTGTAAAACTATGTAAATACATACAATTTAACGTTAATCAACGCCCACGCCGTTACTATTTATTTCAATTTGCGCTTTTTCAACGACAAAAGCTAGTACAAAAGCAATAATAATAATACATTATACATATATACATGCATGTGCGTTTCATTATTCTTGTTTACAATACCTACGACTTTTTTTTTATTACTTTGATAAATTATTATGTTTATTTTATTCATGTGCAGATTAAGTATGCGTCGAACTTACCAATCTATCTATGAGTATGTGTCCATTAGATACTGGGTTTTTTTTCTATTATTATTATTATTCAAAATTGATATATATATATATATATATATATATATTAAGTATTAAACTGTTTATCGGCGGCAGTGTTTGTCTGGTCCTATGTTAAAAGTGCGATGGTGTCTTTAGTGCGATAGTATGATCCGCCGGGATTACTATCAAGATAATTTTAATTTTAGCAATGATGACTGCAGTTTGCAACGTCCAAATATGGAAATAACCGCCATGTTTATCCAACAAAATATAATAATAATTATAATCGGTGAACTTGCGAATTTCCGTTGCCCGAAGCTACAAAAACGGTCGCTCAGGTATGAAAGCCAATCAGGTATGATAGCCAATCAGGTATGAAAAAAGAACCGTTGGCAGCCGAGGTTGTCTTTTGCGATAATAAATAATATTATGTATACTGTTACCTACAATATATAATGTATTTGGCACACGTGATCGGTTAGACACGCCAAAAACAAATATCTAATTATAAACTATGCAGATGCACTAGTGGTAATGAACCTTGCGGTAAGTATAGCAACATTAATGTCAAAGTCGCTACCTAAACTTGTTACCATAACATCTGAACAAACACATAATGGCCACTATTTGAATGAACTTCCGTTAACCGCATATTATAATACTTCAAGTTTAGAAATTCAATATATAAAATACTTGCAGTATGATAACATCCCACACAATAATAAAAACGTACATGTTTTTTAGATGTATTATTTCTTGTTAGGTTATGTTTTGAAAATAATTAATGTGTTATTTTGTTAAATTTATAATACATAAGAAGAGAAGATATTTAAACATTTTTTATTATAACAATATTTTAATTTACTGTCAAAATCATTATGTAAACATATTTTGAGATTTGAAAAAAAATATTGTAACAATCATTATGAAATACTATCATAGTTTTAGTTTACTATCATATTTAAAATTTTTAAAATAAATTATTACCGTGTAAAATTAAATGACCACTTTACCGACAAATAGTTTGTGTGTTATAATGTTTAATTTAGCTTTGATATGGAGCTGAAAAGTATTGCTTTTATAATGATGTGTTTTTTTCTATATTTTTCTGGACCACGATTTTAGCCACTGCGCCGATTAAATTACTTTATGTAGCCAGATAGAGTACCTATCTAAAAACCTGTGACCTATCGGAGTTTTTGTGTATCTAATCAAATTAATTTTGCTTAAAAAAAAAAATCAAATTTCTTTTTTTATTATGACAAATAATTAAAATATTTTCTGAACTACCGCTCGTTAATCAATATACCTGGGATTTATCATCTATGAACAACTAAATATTTTAAAAAACAAAAACCCATAATCAGAATTCTTTATTTGGGTTCAAACTATAAGTTAGGTTACAAGTTAAGTTTGTACTTAGCCTTGTAATGTACCCGTAAATTGATTCGCTACGATGGCGAAGCGACTGCACCTAAATTTATGTAAAACACACAAGTATGTATAATATTAATAATTGTTAGGCGAGAACAATCCCCGTTAGTCGTTCATTAAAATTATTGTAATAATAATAAAATATATCGTGTAAAAATAATTATAAGTAAATATTGTAGGTAAGTGTGGAGTATAGAACATTATGTACAAGAAGGGATTACGTCAGAATATATTATAATAATGAGCAATGGCGTTGGCGCAATTTGGCAGGTGTTTCAAGTCGATGTGGAAAGCACAATTAACATGTACCTATTATTGGGTATACCTTTGGAGAGTTTATATTATTTTTTAATGGGATGCATTTAAGTCGCGAGGCGCGTGTTGCAACGCGGTAATAATACATTTTTATTATTATCAATTATTATCATCGAAAAGCAATAATTGAACTTTAGTAAATGTGAATTTTGTGTGCAAAACGCGTGGGGTTCGCCAGCTGTTTGTTGTCGAATGACGTCCGTTCAAACGATAATCCGCGTTATTTTGCATTATAAATTATAATTATTATTACAACTCGCACGCGTTCTCCATAATATGTATATACCTATTTACAACAATATTTATGTATTGTTATCCTTGTAACATCATTAACAACGACGCTGTCGAAGATCAGTTCTACAATAATAATAATATATTCTGCTAAACCTTCCGAAAGAGAAACACCGACGGCGTGCGTGGGCCGGCGTTAAGTGTTTGCTGTTATTGTTTTGCAGCCAAACTACATTCCGGTTTAGTATATGTCATATTGTGGTCTATTGAAGTTGAGTGAATAACTGATGTCGAATGACTCCGGAGTAAAATCTAAATTATTAGTCGTTTACCGGACAAGAAAGAAAAATGGTTACGAGTTAAGTAATTAAGCGAAGAATCGATATTAATGGAGACAGTTATCTTTCGATGTTTGGTCTAAAAAGCCGTAACCAAAAAAAAAAAAACAATAATTTAATACACAAAACACAGAAGTCGAAAAAGAACCATTGTTCTAGACGTCCTAACAGCAGCGTAATAATCTCGAGAAACAACCTATATATTATATACCTTATAGGTACTATAGTATGTAATCCAAGTACCTCCAGGTTTTTTGTTACCTATAGGCATAGGAGCTAGTATAGGTATTATCCTATTATTATTTCTGTGTTAGTTTTGTTTACTAACTATAGGTTTCACTGGGAGATCGTTGCTGCTGAATAACCATCAATTATTATGTTAAAAAATACTTTTTGCACTCAAGGCTGTAGAGAGGCACGCGACGTTTCGTCCAAACATAACCTAACTTAGCGGTCACGGCTTAACGAAACAAACATTTTTTTAAAGTACCAATGCGATGGTTGTAGGAATAATGATAATAATTAATATTAAACAAAAAATCTTATTGAATATTTAAATGTTTAACCCTAGACTACTTATAACCACAGCCGATTAAAATAGTAGGTACATTAAAGTGAACAAAATGCATGTCCTAATAAAAATGTATCAATGAAATTTGAAAACTCTTTAATGATTACAGGCATATTTGAAAGAAGAGGGCTGTAGACTGTAGTTAATTAGCGCCCTTAATTTTTTAAGTAAAATTGTGCCCTTGCAGTGACAAACTAACGGTGTGCTTTTTTTGTTGGGCGGTAGTCAATGCCCAATGGCACAATGACGCGATAGAAAGTCTGTGCATATTTATCTTAGATTATGCCTTTTATTACTTCTAGGGACAAGATTTATATTAGACCGACCCACGTACAAATAGA